TATAATTCTGATATAGCACAAATTTTTTATATATCTTAAACACAATATAATATAGTTATTTGTGATATCTTATAGATGAAAATTCATCATTAAAATAGATGCAACATTCAATTAATAATATTTTTTATTTAGATTATATTAACATACATTGCATAACTATGCTTTTTGTGCTTAAAATATAAAGTATTTTTTGTTATAAAATAACCTAAGTTGTGATTGATCAAGATAAAATTAAAATAAATCATAAAGATTAAAAAATGTCATATATTAAAAAAATAGAATCATTTCTAAAGAATGGATGAACTGCAATGCATGTTAATGGTTTTTTTTCAGGTACAAGACCAAACATATGAATTCTCATTTTGAAAATATTAACTTTGAGTCTTCATATTTGCATCAAATTATATTAACAAATGATCAAATAAAAAATCATAACACAACAAGCCTAAATATTAGTTAATTACAAACAATAATAGAAAATTTATTTTTATGTGTCAAAGCGAAACCATTCTACAATATCATCACACATATTTATCTTATCATCTTCACATGTACAACAATTATCAAATACATTGGCTACATAACTTAATAACATTCAATCACAATAGTTGTCAAATGCAATACATGTCATTTTAGTGAACATTGAGATACTTAAATATAATCAGATATACTATGTCATCAGAAATGATTACATTATGATCTTTAGATATGCATCTTTGAACACATTTTATTTGAAAATCATAACACACTTTCATGTTAATAAAAAATGATTCTGTAACCCATTTTCATTTGTCGGGTATTAATTGTAACAAATGTTTCGTTTATGATGTCATTCTGCATGTGTAAGATTATATCTTGTCATGTGTATCACCATATTCATCTAAAAGGATAACATAATCAAAATAAATCTACTGAAATCAAATGCATATCACTTTGTTTACATGTGAGATATGCTTGATATCATTTCATAATAGGAATGAAATCATGAACATCAAATTTATTATCACACATGTAAAAAAAATGTTGTGTTCTTATGAAATATAAAATATTTGATCTATAAAATCAACATGTATGGTTTAATTATGATGTCATGATAAAGGAAAAATCAAGCGACCTTAGGTTAGATTTTATCAAATGAAATTGATCAATCAAATCTTCAATAAAATGTAATCCATAACAACTTGTCTTCAATGTTATGCATTCATCCTCACATGACATGGCTTATATACGACATCATGAACATCAGCTGCCTTTGCACATAATTATTTTTTATTTTGTGAAGATCATAGTAGATTTGTATAGAATTTATGTATAGTTATCTTAGTATGTTGAATGTACATAGAATAATATGATAGCATATTGAATTCAACTATGATTCTGGTAAAATGAAAAATTTAAAAACAATTCTACACGTGAAGCATACCTTTTGTTATACATGATGCACAAATTTTGTAGTATCATCAGAAGATAGTCATGTCATGCAATATAATTGTGATATGTGATGGTTCATGTGAACACCAAAGTAACCTAAAAATAATATGAAATCATCTCACAGTTTACTAGAACCCCATAAAATAATTTGTTTCCATCGCTAATTCATGTGGGATATAAAGTTTTACTTGCATTAATGATTGTAACTACATTATAATGATTTGATTGATGTTTATATCAATTAAATCATCTGATTATATAACGAATGATGTGAACATGGAAAGCGATAACACAATAAGCGAACAAGATTAGTTTAGATGGATGGAAACCTAAACTATTGCACTCGTTGCGTCTCGTAGTGTGACAAGGAACGTAATTCGTGTGAACCAAGTAAATGGTGCAATAGCTTAGCACTATTTGGACAACAGGTTTGTTTTGAAGGTCTTGACATACACCTACATGTATGAGTAGAAGGTAAGATCAATATTTCTCATACGGTGCAGGTACGTATACATGTGGCTGTACAATTCCAATTTTAGGCTCAAGACAGGAAGAAATGAACTCGAGATGGGGCGAAAGTCGTCAAATCCATTTTGCGAATTCCTAAAAAAGAAATAATAATTACGATGTCCAGCATTTCATTCTTTATTAAGAAAACACTGTCTATTACGGTGCGGAGGAGAAGAGGTCCTGCGGCATTCGAGCGTCTTTTCCCATCGCGTGAATTTCATGCTGTACATACCTGGACGGAAATATCAGAATTTGTTCCTTGAAATTAGTGATCCGCGTTCAAGACTACAGGAGATTTTACACGCAGCGCAGTCAAGTCAGAAGTTTCAGCCGACTGGGAATCCGGTCATACTCAACGTGGCGTGCTGGCAATGGTCAGCATTATTGGATTTAACATCTTGAAACTCTTGTCAAAGACCGACCTGCCACGGGAGAAGGTGGGGAGGCACAAGACCTAAAGAAGCCGAGAAGCTTCCTTCGTGGATGTGGATGGGATAGACGGATAACGGAGTTCTGGCGGAGCTGATTATTGCTCTCCGTCTTGGCAAACGGATGCCATGAGCTCGGAGCTTCCTAGGACGAGGCTGTCATGTGGTGCGAACACTCCACCAGCCCTGATAAAGAGTCCAATGTCTTCCACAGTGCCGTCCAGCTTTGTAACTTCTCTCAGGAATCTAATGTTGTTCTAGGATTCATAGATCTTGGTTTTCAATGCAGTCCCTTTCTGCTGAAGAAGTCAAAAACTCGCACCAATCATGGGACGCAGTGAAAGGCAAGTAAGCAAAGTATGTCTGGAACTTTCACGCTCGCATCAATCTTATATTATACTCTATCACTATTATACGTCCTTACTCTGGTCATCTTCTGCTCATGATGCGCAAGACTTCTACTATCCTACTTGAATGCAAACAACTATCTCCTTGCACCCTAGCTTTCAGCAAAGGGAGCAATCAATGCATAAACAAATCCTCGCCCGGTGCTAGTCAGCTTGCAGATGGGACGATGCATGACTTTACTTATGGGTGTCTTAGCCCCTCCTCTTACTGTAGTCAACCTCATGATGTGCAAGACTGATACTTGGTTACATTAATGCGTGCGACAATTTCTATGCACCCCAGTAAAAAGCCATCAAGTGTTAAGCAGGTTTCCACCGAGTTGATTCAAGGTTAAACCCGGAGGTGGCCACGACCACATGTACTTTCTGGTGCGCTTATTACTTTTGTGCTGGGACGAACCCTTTCCATTACACGGAGTTTTATCGTAACAAAATAAAAGGGCATACCGACAGAGTATTGCCGATCCAAGCGTATGCAGATTGTTTGCCACTCTATCAAGTCTTGGAAAGTGTTGACATATTCACATCACATGTCTTTTATGTCTGGTTGGTATTAACTTTGAGATTGATGTTGACAAATTCACAATGCATGTCCAGACCGGAGAATCGAGTCTGCTTCTTTGCCTCAACCAAGGGCAAATTTTTGGTGTGGACAGCTGGTAATGAAATCCCCCACCGCCAAAAGTGACAAGATAAATAAACCTCACATAAGTCTGCCGTCAATATGTAACAATAGAAAAACAGCTATTCTACGTGTTTGTAGATGTGTAGCATTGCTGTTTTTGTTAACGGTTACGATTTCAATAAATTTTATGCTATTTCTTTGGATTGATGAGGCTTTCCCATCCTTTTTGGAAAAAAAATCATTTATAGTCCCCTCTTACTTTTTGTGTGTGGATATGGAGCAATCAAATTTACACGTTGCATCAAATTTATTTTTTAAGACCTAAATAGTCTAAAGAAATGTGGATTAAAAGAAGGACAAATTTTTTACATTGTCTATATCGTTTATATGTTCTGCGTGCATATGCTGAATACAAGTCATATATGATTTGTTGGAGATTACAAACGCAGGTCTTGTGCGTGCATCTGCACCGCAGTCAAATGTCGCTTTATCCTTTTTAGCCTTCGGGTCGTAAGGACTTCGTCGCGGCGTAATATAGCCCCTATTTTATGCGTATATGATATTATATACAGATGTTTCAAATCGAATAAAAAGGAAATGTCAAACGATTATATTATAATATTTGTCGGTCATCTAAAAATCTGATGACCGCTGTTCCAGCATATTCCCCAGCCCGTAATCTGTCCATTCGTTATTGTTTAGTGAATGGTGCCGTTGGTAGATCATCGATGTGATTATTCTCAGATATTACCCTTAGTTTTTCCACACACAATTTCCATAATGCACATGTTCCCATGTTCTGCTTTTAAAGTGAACAACCAAACTCCGGTGAGGAGAATCGGTCCACGTAATGGTCGATATTACGATTGACACATCGATCGCTTATTTTATCGCCTACCATATCTCACCGAGTCTGAAATATTCAGTTTCTGTCCAGTGAAAACCCTTGCCGCGATCACGGTCCGTCTCTCTGTGGATGGAAACGAGAACGGACCGTACAGGGAATGATTGGGCACGGACGGTGCCGAGTCACGGAAAGGGATGTACGAAGTCGGGATACAGTACGTTAACCGAAGTCGCATACGGACAGGGTTCCGGATTGACGACTACGGAGGGCCGGACACGAGATTTTTATGAAAGTTCACGGCAAAAGCAGGCGCGGGGCGTTCATAGGACGAGTTGAAGTCAACTTGGGGAGAGAGGGTCGGGGAAGGATGCTGGAAGTCCGAGGCTCCTATGCCGGCAGCCCAGGCCAGCAGTCGGCGAAAAGCCGGTGCGGGAGTTGACGCGTAGTCGGGAAGACCGCGGCCTGGCCTGGGACGGGCTGGGCTGCTCGAGAACCCGGGAGAGGGAGAGAGGGAGAGAGGGAGAGGGAGAGTTCCCGGCCGGGCGGGCGGGGGGCGATGTCGGGCCCGGAACTACCAGACGTAATAAATATCCGAAGGATCGTGCGTGGACAAAGGCGGTCGTCTACCACTGGGCGTCCAGGCTCTTGTTGTTGTGTGTACATTGTTCGTGGGGGGCGAGGGCGAGGGTAGGAAGGAAACGCATAAAAAATGACAGGCCCCAAAGTAATTGCCTCGGCGAGTATAGTGGGGAAGAAAATGTGGGTTGGGTGGCAGGGCAGGGCAGGGCAGGGCAGGGAAGTGAAGGGCAGGGCAGGGGAGGGGCAGTCGGGCCGCATCGGGCCGAGCAGCAGTATCGACGAGAGGAGTTGCTCGCGCGAGTTTCTGTCTCTGTCTGGTCGATGCCGATGCCAGGCCGAGATGGTGACCCGAGTAATTGACGAGCGGACGGGGCAGGCAATTTGAAATATTCTTCGTGCACGGTGCTCGGGAGAGAGGGAGGGCAGGGCAGGGCTCCCAGACCTACTGTGGTTGACTAGAACGGGGTTTGGAGTAGGAGAGACGCTGTATAATATAATATCCAATCTGCTGGCAGGAAGAGGCAGGCAAGGCACAAATTGTGGGCACTTTTGAGAGCAGGAAAGAATCCTGTGCTGCCTGCCTGCCTCTCTCTGGGTCCTGGGGGAGAGCAAGAGAGACAGAGAAGGAAGCAAGGAAGGGGAGGAGATGCATGTCTCCCTGGTGCTGGGGCAGAGAGGGAGAGAGAGAAGTTGGAGGAACAGGCAGCAGTAGCAGCACCAGGAAAGGAAAGGCCAGGAAAAGGCACAGCAAAGCCAAGCAAATTCTTCTGTTGGTAGAAGGGAAAGGGACAGGAAGGGAGGGAGGAAGGAAGGAAGCAAGGGTAGAAGAGGATTGATTTGATTGCCGGGAGGAAGGAAGATTGGGCAAGGAAGCAAGTGCAGCGTTGGAATTGGACTCTTGCTGTGCTGGTGGCAGTGAGTCAGGCTGGACAGGAAAGGGACTTGACGGTAGGGGGAGGGTATGGCACCCTTGGCACCTTCGGCGTGAAGCAGGATAGAGGAGTAGGAGATGCAGAGGCTGGAGAGCTTTGATGGTGATGGAGAGATCAGTTAGATGCCAGGCCGTGGGCACTGTTGCTGGCTGGCTGGTTGCCCTGTCTGTATCAAGCTCTTGAGGGCACAACGTTTGTGTGGTCTTTTCCTGGTGGCGTGACAAAGTTGTTGCAGCCAAAGCCCATCCCTGGCCTGGACAGGCCCTACCTAGAGAAGAGACAGAAGACGAGGAAGAAGAAGAGAGGAGAAGAGAAGAGAGAGAAGGGAAAGCGTGCTACTTATGCAACTGCAGAAGTATTGCGCTGAGAGGCGTTAGCCTACAGTCTCCTTTAACTGCCGAACTTTGAGGTGGGTGTAGAAGATGGTCTGTGATCCGTCCGAAGATTTGTAGGCACCCCGTGCAGAAAGGACTGACTGATTGATCAATCGTCGGTCAAAGAATCGCAAAGAGTCCCTTAGGGACATGGATTGGTCCATGTTTTAAGTAGCCAATTTTAAAGTGTAGACGTCACCTTTGTCAACTTTTCTAAGCATTGGGTTTGTTACCAAGGAGGTCGTAGGCCAAATACACGCATCCTGCGCACTCCTAAGTATTAACATTATCCTGTACTCGCGGAAACGCTGAAGTTCCCGAGTATGCTCTGTATGGGTTGTCATAGCTGAGACTTGCCAGGGGTTACAGGCAGTTCTTTCGAGATTTGCACAACAATCGAACGTCCCTTGTCCCCGACAACCTTGGTACAGTTTAAGAATATTTCGCCATGCCCCTTGCAGAGGCACTCTGCCTGTCACCTGGGGCTACCTCCAGGTCCTTCGGAGATTTATACTTAGGATCCCGTAGCCCGAGTTAACCCCAGATCAAATGCAGATTGGACGACATGGCGCAAATCGCACTGAGGCCTGCTGAAACACTTCTGAAGTCAGGTACTTGTGCTAACTTTTTCCAGCTTGCTTCTTGTTGTTTCTCTTTGGAGGCAAAGTCTTGAGAAGAACTAAATCACCACGAGTTTAAGCTTTAAAATATACACCTGCGTTTCAGAGTCTTCTGGGTATGTTATGTTATTCTTCTGAGATGAAATTGGTGGCCTATTTTCACATCTTCTTGCTTCTACTGTTGATAGACCCTCTTTGCTGCTCCTCGATTTGAAATTAGCATCCACAACATAGCCGGCTCCTTTTTGTAGCTTGTATTGCATGGAATGCATACGTGGAATTGATGTAGCCAAGTGGTTGTATCTTTCCTAGCTGCGTCGGAAATCTAGTTTGAGGTCGTATCTCGGGTACTTTTATGTCAGACGTGTCACATGGTGTCTAGATTTGGAAGATAGCAAGCGGGATATGTTCAATGCATCACTCGCTTTCTTGGCTACCCATCAGATCCAAACGAATGCTTTCTTGCACTTCAAATGCGAATCTAGAATCAAATGAAGCCTTGTGGGTTGAGGCGTGGACATACTTTCCACTTTGCTGATCTCGATGTGAGCCTTAACCCTGCTATTGATGATACTTCACTTTCCCTAATAGATGTCTAGAGCACAACATTCCGACATATCAGCATATCCAGAGGGCAATCGTCTTGATTTACAATTGCAATGGGTAAGTCAAGTGGACTCTAGGCCCTTTACTTGCTTCTTTAGGTTAGATCATGAAGCCGGTAGCTTTTGCCTAGATTCTTAGGGGCTGGTGGCCTCTTTACAAACCTGTTAGCGCCTGCTAATTGTATGTCGAAATGCCAAAAGGCTTCCATGGACGTCCACAATCATGAACTGGAGTAGAATAACGTCTGATTCGCATCAGGAGCGGAGTTTCCAGTCGTCAATAAGAACACTTTACTGATTTTACCACAATCAAGTCCTCCAGTCATCGAACATGTACAGGACAAAAGCTGCATCACAGTATGTGAGTGATTGATGCCCGTTTGTGAGTAACTGAAAATACAAAGTAGGCTCATATTGTACAGAGATTCTCGGCTCACTATGCAAGAAAAAACCAGGAAGGATTAAGAGAACCCCTTAAGATGTAGCATGTCTTGGACATACTTGTAAGTTTAACAAAAGAGCCATCATGTCAGTTAGAACCGTTATCTAGAGCATTCAAATACTCCTTGTCAGATACAGTACAGCGAGCATCATCCCACACTTTGGCCAACTTTGATAAATGTTCCTCTCGGTATAACAGAATCTATAGTGTGTCTTGCCAATTCGAAGACAATGTTTACCTTAGTAAATACACAAGGCTTTTAACCGAGCATCGTACGTATACTTTCACGTTAACGTATACAAATAATTAAAAGTGTCTGTTTAGAGCCCCGGGCTTTGTCTTGCTCGACACCATATAATCAAATTGCTGTCCGACAAGCCCCAGGACTTGAAGTTACACAATGACTAGTCATTGAATGAGGGAAAAATACATAAAAAGTGAAGCTAAGTAAAAAAATCTTAGTTTCTTTTTGTATATTTCCAACTGGTTTTAAACCCCCCAATCCATGGACGATTTATATAGCTTTGATTTGTTTCGTTGCCATTTGCTGAATCATGTTTGCTAAATATTCCGGATTGGATCATGTTGCATCATAGAAACTAAAGACAAAATCTCGTGGCATATTGGCCAGATAAGATTCTTTAGGTGGAATCGAAACACTGGGTCGGTAGGCCTCGAAAAGATAAACACAGCAGTACTTCTACACTATGAGTCATATCGAATCTGAACCAATACAGGCCGTATTTCAGGTTTATCTATACATTCTTAGATAACCTGTCAAAGGCCAATTTTTTGATGCCTTTCGCGTTTTTTTGCAACTATATAAGGCTGGTCGAAGGAAAGCAATATGAAGGCTTGTATAATAAATATTTTGTGTTCAAATCTTCCTATAACGCATAGTTCTGGCGTATTCAATTCCTGGAAAGAAGGTCGAAGTTGGTGTTTTTATGGCATTTGACATGTAGTTGATTTACTTCTGTAACCTACCTAGTTCCTTGTTGACACCTCTTATAAGAGGTGTCAAGTGGTCAAGTGCAAGTGAGTCCGTTTTGTATAATAAACCTTTTGTGTTCAAAATCTTCTTATAACGCATAGTTCTGGCGTATTCAATTCCCGGAAAGAAGGTCGAAGTTGGAGGTTTTATGGCATTTGACATGTAGTTGATTGACTTCTGTAACCTATCTAGGTCCTTGTTGACACCTCTTATAAGAGGTGTCAAGTGGTGTCAAGTAGTCAAGTGCAAGTGGTCCGTTTTGCCTCTTAGGCATATCCTTCGCTGCTTCGTAACTGAAGAATATCAAGAACTGAATAAGTTCTTGAATAACACTTGGATTTATTCAGTCCCTTTAACAAAACACTTAGTGCAATTCGCTTGATTTTTATACGAACCTGAATTGGTTCGAGAAATTACAAAAACGGAAACGCCAAGACTCCTTGGTCCACGATGCCTTGGTTAGGGCGCTGGGTAAATTGTCGAGGAAGCATAACTCTGCGGGGCTGGCAACACTCCCGAGCAAAAAGTCAAACAAGACAGTATCTTTCCATGAGATAGTCATCAACTGTCTTGTGTCTCTTGTCTGTTTCCAAAATCTGACAAGTGAAATCCCCTCGTTTCTTATCCACAGAGGCCATCAATTTGATGAAACGAGAGTTAACTTACATTGGATCAGCAGCGGTATCATCGAATTCAATGGCGAAAAAGGATCAGATTGAAGATTCAGATGCGAGTAGTTTTGATGAACTAGACGAACCTCGACCGGTCAGGAAGAAAAGGCCCAATCGGCGGTATGCCGAGCAAAGCAGCGATGATGAGTATTGTCTACGAGCTCTCAAGAGATCCATGCCAAGATACAAGGAGATTGACAGTAGTTCTGAGAGTGAGTCGGATTTCACTAGACCATCGCGAGTATGTATACTGAAACTCTCCTGACTTGCTTTGAGGGTGTTTTTTGGTCATTTCAAAAATCTAAGACATATGTAAATGTCTCACTTTGTTGGAAGCAAACAAATGGTTGCGGAAACTGAAGTACTGTTAATGTGGATATATATAGGATACTGCATTGAAGCCTACAGGTCTGCCCATTGGAGTAGTGAGAGGATGCGTCAAGTGCAGTGACTGTCAAGCGGTATGTGATTTCGATCTACTGACAAAGATTATGAAGAAACAAGGAGAGCTTAGTTTGTTCGTTTATCATTAATACTACTGAGGAGTAGAGACAGACGAATGTAATCACTGTTGCTTGGATAAATGTTTTTTTGTTGTTGTTGTGGGATATGATTGCTTAATCAGGTATGTATACTGACCAAGGGTTTTGAAAGTCTTGCGCAGGTATTGGCGAGATGGCATCCAGAAAATGGTTGCAGACCGTTGGTAGACGAAGCACCCGTATTTTATCCTAGTGAAGAGGTCAGTTTCTTGATTGCTGTAAACTAGTGTCATAAAATTAAAGTTGTTGAATTGCTCTATTTCATCGTCTTGTCAGTAATTTCGTCAGTTTCCTCTTCTACCTGAATACCCCTCCCTAAATCTATGAAGATGGCGCTGGCTTATTCGATAAATCATCCAGGTTTAATGTCATTATGAGGAGTGCTTGTGTCTGCGTCACCTGTTTTAATTTTGTTTATCGTTCCGTCAAAAAGTAAATAATAATCTGACTGTGACTGGAAAATAGTGGCTGATTTGTTACCCATACATTCTTGCCCAAAGCATCACAAAATCCTCCAGTTGCTAATGATAACCCAATATTTTCATAACTGGGGTTCAGCCTTGCGCTTTTGGTACTGGTTCCGCTTCTCTCTTATCAGGATCCTCATGTATTTCTTTTAGGTTATCCTTAGGTTTCATGCTGCAATGATTACAACAGCATTAAATATAGATTTGAAAGAGGATTTTTGTTATGTTAAACATAGACATCTCATGGTACAAGGTGAGATGCCATGAGATGGTTTCTAACCTTGTTATTGACCAACTTATATTTGTTATGCAGGAGTTCAAGGACACGTTAGGATACATAGCCAAAATTCGTTCTGCAGCAGAGCCTTATGGTATCTGTCGAGTTGTACCACCACCAGGATGGAAGCCACCTTGCCCCCTACGAGAAGATACAGCTAGACTACGTTGCTTGAAGTTTCCTACCCGTGTACAAGAGATTCACAAGTTGCAGGTTAGAGAAGCAGTGAAGAAATGCCCTCAGGTCAAGCAACGACCTGGAGGAAGGAGAGGTAGGGGAGGCTTCAGGGGACGTATGGGTAGACCTTGTCGAAGGACGCCCAACTTATCCATCTCTGGAGGTCCTCCAAAAGTTGTGCATCCTGATGAGTCATTTGGTTTTGAACCAGGAGCGTCCTTTTCCTTGGGTATGTTCGAGAAGTATGCTCATGAGTTCAAAGAGCAGTATTTTCAGGACTCGGCTAATGAAGTTACTCCCATTATTACTGGAGAGGAAACTGTGCATAAAGTAAACCCTTCTGTAGATGAAATCGAAGCAGAGTATTGGCGCATTGTTGAGCACCCTACTGATCGAATTGAGGCAAGTCTTTGCGCATTTTTTTCCTCTTGTCATACTGGTTAGCTAAGTTTGCCAGGTAGTTGAAGCTTTTGTTGCTGTGCCCTTTCTCATGGATCGCCGATTGTCAATCTTTCGAAATTAACTGATCGATCGATCTGGTTTTGCTCAGGTTTTGTACGGAGCAGACGTGGAGACCGGAAGTTTTGGTAGTGGTTTTCCCAAATCTAAGCCTGGAGAGGTTATCAATGATCCAGATTCTTACGAGAATTCTGGCTGGAATTTGAATAACATTGCAAGGCTAGCGGGATCGATGCTTGCCTATGAGAACAGCGAAATATCGGGAGTGCTGGTGCCATGGCTTTATATTGGGATGTGTTTTTCTTCCTTTTGTTGGGTAAGTTGTTGAAAATATTTTTCTCTCCGAACTCAAACATCGAAGAAAGTGCCTTGGAGTTTCTGTTTTTTCTTGATTTTTTAGCTTTTACCTGCATATGTAGTAGTCTCAGATCTGCAGTTAACAATGTCATGGCGAAGCAGAGTCGTTTTCGGGAAAGCACACCTTGCCTGCAACTAGTCATAAAGAATGTAGGGAAATACATTGACTGCCCGTATACGTCAGCTCCAAATATACCAAGAGTCAGGAGTTTAGTACCTCAAGTACCTCCGTTTCATTATTAATCTAATGGAAATGAAAATAAGGTGTCTGCCCGTTGAGTCCGTGTGTGTGGTGAATATGTTCTGGAAATTTTTTATTTTCAAGAACTTGTTTCAGTAATACGAATTCGACTTGATTCCTAGTTGTGGCATAACTTACACCTTCTAGAGCTTTTTGGTTACTCAGGAACTCATGCTAATTGGGGGATGCTACCGTGATACACTTGTGTTGCAGCATGTGGAAGATCATCATTTTTACTCATTGAATTATATGCATTGGGGTTCTCCTAAGGTCTGGTATGGAGTTCCTGGTTATGCTGCTTCTGATCTTGAGACTGTCATGAAGAAGCACTTGCCTGACCTCTTCGATGAGCAGCCGGATCTCTTACACAAGCTGGTACTTACTCGATCTCTAAATATTGGCAACCTCAGACATAGTCTTTTCATGAATTATCGAGCAGTGTTGACCACATATGATTACTAACCTTTGTTATTGCTTCTCAGGTGACTCAGTTATCGCCTTCAATTTTGAAAGCTGAGGGAATACCAGTATACAGACTGGTGCAGCAAGCAGGAGAGTTTGTGATCACCTTTCCTCGAGCCTACCATTCTGGTTTCAATTGTGGCTTCAATTGTGCAGAAGCTGTAAATGTTGCCCCAGTTGACTGGCTACCTCATGGACAGAGTGCAGTAGAGTTATATAGAGAGCAGCGACGGAAGACATCTGTATCCCATGACAAGCTCCTCCTAGCAGCTGCAAGACAAGCTGCGAAAAAGCTTTGGCATAACAGAAACCAGCTGAGTATGCAGGCCAGTCAGGGATTCAATGTCAAGCAGGAAGTACAACAAGATCTGTCGAAGGATGGGAGATCTGGGTGTGATGATTTTTGGCAAGCAATATGTGGTCAAGGCGGAGTTTTAGTACAAGCGCTTAAGGTAGGTTAATGCTTGCAAAATATGGTATACAAGTGTCTTTGGAGATTTTCTGTTTTACGTGATGGTAAGCTCTAGTCTTATCCGATACTTTAGAACTACCCAAGAGGTCAAATCGTTGGAGCTGATATCTTTACAGGTATTTGCTTCTAATCAACTAAAGTAGAAGACAAATATGCTAATCTCTGAGCCAAAACTTTACCAGGGTATTTGTTGATTTGGTCTCTCTTGGGGTATTGTTATCCTGTTCTCAGATTACACAGTACCAATAACAATGTTGGATGTGTTGTGCGCCTATATCGTCTAGATCAGGTGTACCTACTCATGTCGATATATATGGAATATGTGACGGGGTCTTGAGGGTTGTTCTTTTGTGTAATGCTGGATACCTTTTTCCCTGTTTATATTTAGGAACGGGTGCGTATGGAGCGGGTGAGACAAGCTGCGTTCCTAGGAGAGGTGCACATGAAGAAAATGGACCGCGTCTACGATTCAACTGATGAGAGGGAATGTGCAGAATGCCATTATGATCTGCATTTGTCCGCAGTTGGATGTGAATGCTCTCCTGAGAAGTATGTCTGTCTGCCTCATGCCAAGAATCTCTGCGGATGCCAATGGGGGAAGAAGTCTGTCCTTTACCGTTATGATATAGTTCAGCTGGAGCTCCTTGTTGCTGCCCTTGAAGATAAGCCAGGGGCATTGAGTATATGGTCTCAACAAGAACAAACCCTCAGTATTTTTGCCCAATCTTCGCTTCCCCCCCTTGGAAGTCAAGATGGAGGTACGAATGGTTCTCTGGTGAAGACCGAATACACTACCACAAGTCTGTCGTTCGGGAAAGGTACTTTCAGAGCTCAAGAATTAGAGTTCAGCTTAGCAAATAAGAGAGAAACTTATAACTCCCGTTCAGTTACCACTTTAGATATACATGGGAAGTCATTTCCCCCACAATGGTTTCATGGGACAAACTCTCAAGGAGCAGTCCCACCTCAACAATATGCAGGGCATTTTGTAAATAATTTTGCTCAAGTTCAGCCTGTATCTGTGCTTGAAGAGAGTAGGGTTAGCATAGGTGGAGGAGAGAGACAGTGGGGATTGTCTTCCGAAGGCAAAGGGCCTGCAAATATTGTGGTCAAGATAGAACCCCAGACTGCTGAAAGAACAGCATCATCTGGTAGACCAATGCTTATACTTCTTAGCGACGATGAGGAAGAAAGTTCTCTTAGGAGGGCACGCCTCAGGGAACGTCTTGGGGAGATGGCATTCGCCCATGAAAGAGTAGATGCTGGAATGTCAGCTTTGAGCAGTGCATCAAGTTCTGACGCTGCACAGAAAATGCCGATTGAGGGTTGTGATGTGTTCAATCCCCGCATTGGTGCCTTTCCTATTCAAACATATGGCCATGCTCCAAGTCATACTGGTACGATTTGTCCACAATCAAGTGTAAATGCTCCTAGTGCGAATATGACACCATTTGTCAGAGTTAACCACCAACAGTCCACCCTTTCCAATGGGGTCGTTCTTGCCAGTTGTTCTCAAGGGCCAACGAAGAAGAGACCAACCAAACTGAGACAACAAGCGAGGGAAAATCCAAGAGAGGGATCTAGATTGTTGGGCCCTCGAACAGAGCAGCTATATACTGCTCAGCACGTGTTCGACGCCGTCCATGCAATGCGCTTGCAAAGTGGTCAGGCAGATCATTTGCATTCCACTCAGTTTGGGCCGGACTACAGTGCGGTTGCTCGTGCAGATCCGAATGCAAACATGCACTACGGCGACGTTAACTCATCAAAGCCAGTGCACTCTGTCAGTGCTCTCCAAGCTTGTCAGTTGTCAACGGCAGACATTGAAGTACCACCACCGACGCAAGCTGGAGCGGTCATCCAGTCTCGCACCCCAACAAGGCTGGAGCGTCCCGCTGGTCCACGCATCGCGAAGGTGGTGCGGAAGAAGATTCACTATGAAGTAGAACTGCTGGACGTGGGAGCACTGGTTTTGCGAGAGGGTTGGCACAACAAACAGGCTATATACCCTTCAGGTATACCTGATCTTGCGTCTGATATCTGCTTCAGTGTTATCTCGACTCTTCTTTCACTGCTACATTCTTATATTTGGAGTTTGTACATCATGACCTAATGTGGGTGTAGGATAATACTCATTATTGTCGTGATTAGCTTTAGTCTTAGCTCTGCTTTAGAGTAAACTTGTGGTTTGTGACTTGCTCTGCAGGTTTCAAAAGCCGTACCAGTTTTTGCAATGTACTGAATATCACACAGACATCTTTGTACACCTCTGAAGTCATAGATTGTGGACAAAGTGGCCCCCGCTTTAAGGTAAGAACCAAGCGACCAGTGAAGTCAATTTCTGCATGCTCACTTTATATTTAACGTGCCGTTGTGAACGGTGTTGTATGAATAAGACTATGAAGTTATGGGTCACTCCAGGAACTTCGTCACTTTTGTTTCTGAAGTTAATGCTGTTCTGTGTTGTAGATGAAGCCGGTCAAAAGGTTTCTGGAACTACTCACACCTTGGATCGCTACTCATAACGAGTTACTGTTGTGTCTCCTTGCAGGTAACACTGGAAGGCAACAATTCCGCAGTCTTTATCGACGATTCAATAGATACCTGCTGGCAAACAGTTCAAGAACAGATAAATAAGGAAATTATAAGATGTCGGAGCCAAGGTCATACAAATCTACCAGCTCTACAACCACCTCAAAGTCTTCATGGTCTGGATATGTTTGGTTTCACTTCACCAAGTATAGCCCAGGCAAGTGTTGTCCTTCTTTCAGATCATTGCCACTATGGTCGATAAGAGCTGGCAAGATATTGGACTGATCAATATTGGGTCTTGTTTGGGAATAAGTGGAACTGGTTCATTACTTCTTTCGTTCCATTGTTCTACATCAACAGCCACGCCCGCTGTCCAACATCTGCACTACCTTAATGGAGTGTAGATATGGAGATTACGTTTTTGAAAGTTTTTTGACTTCATTGCAGGCAGTTGAAGCCCTCGATCGTTATCATCAGTGTACGGAATATTGGTCGTCAAAATTGAAAAGTACAGTTGCTGTCGGGTGTAATATTTCACCTCTCAATCCATCGGAACATCGACCTTCTACTCCTGACGAAATCAAAATTCTGAGACCGAAAATCAAAGGATCTTCTATCGAAGTGGGCAGCGGACCACTCACAGCCATAATGGAACCAGAGTATCCTCCCAAGGGAAAGCTTGAACATTACAGTGTTTTGAAGGGCTTCTTCCATAAAGGGACTCGTGAAGAACTGTGGGCATTACATCGACTTTTCAATTGTGAATGGCAAGGGAAGGAATGGAGGGAGGCATTTCAGGCACTCACAGATGTACTGGACATCCGAAAGCCGTAGGGACCATGTCTGCCTTTCCGTGTATGCTTCCAAGCCAAGGTAAGACATGTTTTGAGTACAGTAGAACAATTTTGATTCATTGTCAAGCATCAATAAAGTTAAAAGGTAGACCGAGCTTGCGCCATATCCGCCGTTATTCTGTGGCTGGTTTCAAAACTAACTGTGACTGCCGATCTAAAATTTCTTTTCGGATGGGAGAGACGGATGATAATGGATGTGAACTCAAATGAATGTATAAGGTGAAAGGCTTCACAAAGACCAGTTTCAGTCACTAGTGTAGGAAGTTAATATAGCTGTATGTAAAGCAGTTAACTGCAAAAAGCTATATAGTCTTTGATGGTCGGCATTGAGCCAATGATAAGTCTTACTAAATTTGTATCACAAGAACTTTGTGTGTCTGTTATGAGGTGGTATATACAAACTTGGATCAGATTGAGACTTCACCGAATGAAAACTTCAACAGTCAGACTTAAAGTTAGGGTTTCTCCAAAGCTTTCTCATTCGCCATTGCAGTTGCCATTCTGGACTTTTCGATTGTAGAGTGCGGAAAGCCAGTTTTTCCACGCAGACAAAATGTGATTCTTAATTGAAATCTGCTCATTTTAGGTGCTTGTTGAGATTGAGCGTCTTGCTTTGTGCAAGCTAGGACTTCTCTCTTAAAATATGACTTACATCCATTTTCAAAGCTGTTGCGGTCCTCATTATATATTTGGATAGAGTACGACTTCTTCAAGAGAATACGCTTGATTACGGAGGTGTGATTGCACCCAACCTGGAACTGTTCACACGAAGAAGTAAGCGCTTGTGAGCGAATTATCCCACTTAGCTGTCATTGCAGCTGCTGCAGTAGGGCTTTTGTATTCTGGAAAGATCAGTGGATATCTGCGAATCACGAGTGAGCTGGTGGACCCTGAGTGCATGCAATCGAGGATGCGTTAAGTGAAATTCATGACAAAAAAAGGGACGTGAGCACTCGTCAACAGTGGTAGAGTAACCAATGGTGATTATATTCAAGCATAGGTCGTATAAACGTAAAGAAACGGAAATGTATGATGGTGGTTGTGGTGACAGGCTCTCAGCAAAGTCTTGCCAGTGTAACCTTCTCGAATTCCCCAGAAATCTTTGCTCTAGCATCGAAAAGCCGATACTTGTCTACGTCAGTGCGGGAAAGTTTGAATTTGCCACGCAAAGAGATGTGTCTACACTGAAAACTGCAAATTTCCGGAAGCAAGTTTTCAACTTGATATGCACGGATTACTATATCGTAAATCGAGGTATCTTGTGGGGGAAACCAGTGACTCCACGGTGTAATGAGGCGGTAGACTTGAGTCCATGACTCCGGTTTGATCGATCAACGCCCAAGAAGTCCCAAACTTCGTTTGATCAATTAAGACACCAATGACTCCAGCTCGAAGTTGGGCTGATTGGCTTGTCATGGTGTGAATTAAGCTCGGTGTACCAGAAGTGGACACATACAGTAAAGTCAATTTACTTCTGTAAAGGGCAGTTTGCACTATTACCATTTATTTCGTAAGATGTCGCGAGGAGGCCATTTTCGAAGATACCTTCAAGCTGTGGCCACACATTCCCCATTTTCCGCATCCATTCCGAAAATTCCAGCTTCAATTTGCTTGCTCGATTCCACATATTGTGCTGAGTGCACAGACATCAGAAACTGATGGAAATCTAAATCCTCAAGAGCTCTTGCCGTTCAGACAACTGTTCTTATTCGGAATTTCAAAATTGGACGGAAGCCCTTTACTGAATGAACTTGGAGCTCCACAAAGCGAGTCCTACAATTTAGGACTCGATTGACAAGATGACATTTGGTGGATGCATCGGATGGCCGTAAAACACAGCACTAGGAAACGTCGAAGGCTTCAAGCTTGCCAAGAACTTCTGCAAAACTACCCTCAAACCTTGTCCACAATTTCTTTCACGACTCTTTATCACCTTCGTGAACATGTCTGAAAAACGCCTAGATCAACTCTACGATAAACATATTCGGAAGGCAGAAAGAGTAGAAAGCTCTGAATCCTGAATTTAGCAACAAGTCATCGCTGCTAAGATCAATAAATTAAAAAATGAGGCCTGCAAGATTCTATGTTAGTGACATGGGCTTTAAGATGATAGTCTTTGGCAGTATTCTCCAACAGACAAAAAGAAGTGCTTTCCAGCAACCAATCCATAATCCCCTTGTCCATCTATAACTACATTTACCTGGGGACACACAAAAACACACGAATGATGAACATTAATAACCACTAAGACACATTATCAGCAAGTTGACGTAGCAAAACAGAGGAGAGGAGGTTCTCCTTGAATATGGGATGCTCTTTTCCTGCCTCATAAGACCTATCCTACTGATGTACAAAAACACCAGAAAATGATAATTGTTGGACAATCATTAAAATTGAGGAGCAGGGTGTCAAAAGAGTAGGGCTTAGTTGAAGTAGAGGCTTCGGAAGTGCTCAGAAACGACACATGAGGAGGCAAGGAAGGAAGGTTAGCTCACCGTTTTACTTGACTTCAGAGTGGCAGGATCTTTGGCCAACAATACTACTGAGATGTTCTGAGCATGTTCTTTGTTTCCTGTAACATTACCAGACAATCATGTAAGAATTTTCGGAGCTCCTTGTGGTGTCTCCACATGTCACGTAAAGCTTTCTGGAAGCCTTGGGTGACATCCAGGACTGCGTAAGAACTGCAACTAAATCTACTCTTAGGTGAAGACACTTCGACATACCTGAACACAACTCTGTAAGCAGGTCGAAAGCGAATGACAAAGCCGGTTTGGCCAATGTGACTGAGAAAGATCCTCCTGCAACTCCGCTGAATTGCTCAGTCGCGATAACCACCTGGCATGAAAATGACATACGAACAGAGGTGCAACTCACCCGAATAAATATTCTTCAGTATATTGCATGCTAACTCTATCCTTCGGTCTCGACCCAACTCGACATTTTAAGATTCCTTTCTCGATTCAATCTAGTTTCACGTTGCAGTTTTCTAGAAGTTGGTTCCATATGAAATCGGAAAATCAGGACAAGGACAGAGATATGTACATACTGCATGAGCTGGCAGATTCTCTTGAGCTAATACGGACGATCCCACGGTTTCTTGAATATATGCAGCCTGCAATGATCATTGATTCCAATCAGCCACAGCAGAGTCCAGCTATATAATCAGAAAAGGCTTGCTAACTGTGAAAAGATTTAATAAAGATTCGTGAATTCAAATCAAATGATGTATCTCCAACATCATATGATTTGCTATCCAGGTCTACGTTCCTACCTTCGGATCTGCTGTCTGTACGTTTGGCAAGTCTTAAAGACTTGACAAAAGCGTAGACAGCAGTTTTCAAGCTAGTAACCATGACACCGAGCTAGCCATGGCATACTTCTACATGGTATGGACAGTGGATCTTTTACCTGAGAAGCAAACACACGCTTCAAGACATCGTTCTCACTACCAGCACCCACCACCTTGTAGTACACCTCTACAGAATCCGTTGGTTCTAGTCCAGACTTCTTTCGCAGCTTCTGGATTCTGTTCACAATCTGCGCGCAAAAACCACGATGTTATCCCTGAACAAACTAATCGTGCCTTCAGTACTTGGTGGGAATTATGAAAGCAGTCCTGATCCTAAAAATATTCATGTTATCTTCAACTCACCTCACGAGCAAACCCAGCCTCTTGCAGGCTATCATCAGGCCGAAGGTCCAAGACGACCAACACGTCACCTGCATGTCCAACATAAAGTTTTGATATTTAGCACATTCAAAAAAATGCTTAAAGAGGTACGTAGAGGAATCTCACTCCGGGATCTTTCTAAATAATCCGGCAACTTGATATCCAGATACTGACCATCGCCGCCAGCGTCCACGTCTTCTTTCTTTACTCCGTCCGGTGCTTTGAAATCTCGATGGACCTGCAGCAGTCAAACATCTTCTCAGCCAGAAGTTCGGTGAAAACTCAGGACAAAATGAGTACTTCTTTTAACAACAGTTAAACGAAGATGTAGAATGATTTCCTCACCTTGATGTCTCCGCCAGTTAACTCGTGTCCAGCAATAGTCACAGAACCAGATTTTTCAAAAGCCAAAATATCTGCTTGACTCATGCTTCTCACGTCCTTGCTTACCAGCCCCATAGCTCTTCCAAGTCTTTTACCTAGAGAACTGCATCACGTCCATACCAATATTAGAACTGAAGAATCTTACTTGAAAGGGGCTTTCCGATCGACATGAGTCCTGCAAAAATTTCAAAAGAGGTTTTCCACAAGCGTCTTCAAAGTGATGAGGTCAACGGGCATAGAGTTTGAAAGAGTCTGAAGCCAGCACCACCACCAGTCTTAACTCACCTGAAATCAGGCTCTGCACGCAAAGAAGCGTACTTGAGAGGATCATTGCAAGTAACAATGCTCCTCACATTAAGTTCCTCCTGAACATACTGCAAAATCGAGGACATCGAAGGAATTTATTCGTGAGAGTCATGCAGAATCATTCCCTGTTGGTGAAGTGAAGAGGTCTTCTATGTAAGACACCAGACGACCGACTAGGGCGCAGATCCAACGTACCTCTCCCAACTTGCCAGTAATGTCATCGAGAAAGTCCTGGTCGGGATGTACCACGACCATTTCCCTGAGAGGAGAAGAATCAAAGATCAGAATTGTGCAACCTACGTCGAGCAATTCCCACTGGGCGTACTAACTTTACAACGACAAGGTCCGTCCTGTGTACGCACTTTAGAGGGGTCTTCAGGGGCTTGTTGTGCCTCTCCCTGATGTTGCGCGCTAGGTCAATAACCGTAATCATGCGTGTAACGCTCTGCTCGATGCGCTCATCTGTCTGAAATCAACATTACAGCAAGCCCAAGGGAAGTTTCAATAGCAAGCAAAATTCACGATATGAATTAAGTTCGCATATGACTGCATTTTGCTCCCAATCATTACAAACAAAACAGAATAGAACTCTTCCTGATTTCTTAAATTTTCTGTAAAAGATCTGAAATAGAACGGAGATATCACTACCTCTCCTTGTACTTCTGGAAATTCGCAATAATGGATGCTTTCTTCTGCTGAAGGATCGACTTTTCGCAGATTTTGATACAGATCTTCGGTAAAAAAGGGAGTGAAGGGAGCCATTGTCTTGCAAGTTGTCAGCAACACCTATATTTGAAAAACGGTACGCTTAAATCATTTGCAGTTAAAACCTAGTTTTTCTTCTATATCAATTCTCAGTTGAACTGTGTCAATATACAAACCACAAAGCAACCAACACTATGAATAAGAGCACTTATGTCCAGCAAATTTGCACCCTTTGTGTACGATCATGAAAGTAAAAGCAAGAGAAGTGATCTAAGAAAACAAAGTTCCATAGATCAACAGCCAGAGAATGAGTAGATATTTGACTGTACATTGTAGAGAGTTGAAAGCGCGACACGACTGTCCTCCTCGCCGGTCCGGCCTTTCAGTCGTTTACGGTTGAACCGCACATAGATATTGGTCAAGTTGTCGATAAACTTAAGCAGGAATGGAACCACCTGAGAAAATACCAGCTGGCTGTCAACAAGTGATTTACAAGGTTTAAATGTCCTGTACAATTTCTCCGCAATGTAATATGATATTCTGACAGCAATTGAGACCTGTGGCGTCCACATTTCTATGAGATAAAAAGAAGACCATAGGCCATATATTTCATTTCAGGACCATGTAATCATAGGCGCATAATATTCACCGTGTAAAGTCTGTAAGCTTCCATCTCCTGTTTCACGAATTTGACCAAGCTTTGCGTGGACGAGTTGATCCACCTGTCCAGCACGTTAGTGGATTTTTGAAGAGTGGTGAGATCCAACGGAGAAAACTTCCCGAAACCTTCTGCTTCTAGCCTTAGAGCATTCTGGACCAAGAATCTGTAGGCATTATACCAAGGGAGAAAGACATCTTTCACCTGGATAACATGGCAATATACAACATCAGCCGACCATAGTTACCAAGTTCATGATGCATAGTAAAGAGCAATGTACTTCGACAGCAGTAGCTTAATACGTCAAGAATGTACAATGATAGTTCAAAATGCCATATGCATGAACTATTTTAGCCTTACCACAGCGAAGACACCTTCCTTCCTAAAGCGCAAAGGTTCTCCACGAACGACTGGAGAGTTGATGAGGTACAACCTTAAAGCATCCTGTGCAGGTAAAAAGTCAGATAAATCTCCAGTCGAAGAAATGCTCACATGACCATATTCGAACAATACATGCCAAAGACTTGAAATGCAGCCTACGGGTTATGGGTACTATACAGAAGAAAAGAGAAGAAAGAGTTAACTATACTCACAGCCCCGTATTCGTCGAGTACATCCGTTACAGGAGGAAAGTTTTTGAGCCGTTTGGACATTTTCTTCCCATCTTCTGCCAAGACCAGACCATTGCAAACGAGATTCTTGAAAGCTGGTTTGTCGAACAAAGCTGTCGACAGCACCATCAGAGTGTAAAACCTGCATTGCGTATTCAATCCTTAGACTTGTAGCTAGGATCTGTAACTGCAGTAGTTATACCTTCTCGAACTCAATCATAAAAATGGAATACCAGTAGCTGAAGCAGACTTCGAATGTGGTACACTAAATGTAATGTGAACAACTTTCTAGGCCAGGTAGAAGGTAGAAGGCAGTAAAGAACTGACTAAGTGACCGGAGCATACCATCCACGGGTTTGATCGAGACCCTCAGCAACAAAGTCTCCTGGAAAATTCCGTTCAAAAAGTTCTTGGTTCTCGAATGGATAATGGATGTATGCGTAAGGCATAGACCCACTTTCAAACCAGCAGTCAAAAACCTGGAAAAATAATCATATATTAGTTTCCTAATTACTTGAACCTGTAATAGCCATGTGCAATTTAGAAATCACAGATAGGCCGATATCACGTTACTCAACAGTGCTATTACCAAAGGCAAGAAATATGTTTTAGCTTTCAACGAACTCAACAAGTTACTCACATCCTCTACGCGCTTTAGAACACCAAACTCGGGGCCACGTTTGGAAGGAATGGTGACGTGATCAATCTTGTGACGATGAAGGTTTGTAGCCTGCAAATGAAAAACGATCAGAGGTACCAACAAACCGAAGTGGCTTCATTCTCACCACCGAAGGGGAAAACCCCGGGCAATCAAGCTAATTTCATACTCGCAAGCAGGCATAACGTCATGCAATTAAGAAGTAAAATCAAAGCGCAATGAAGGCAAAAACAAACCTTGAATCCAGAGAGCTCTTCTAATTCCTGAATAGATCCAACGACAACCATTTCCTCCCCATCATCGCTTAACCAGATTGGCAAAGGAGTTCCCCAAAATCGACTGCGGCTCACTGACCAATCCCTGGCATTCTCCAACCAGTTGTGGAAGCGCTTATCCTGCAAACAAACATATATCTTCTGTAAGATGTTCATTCTCCAGCTGTCGTGAAAACTGTTGCCTTCACAACTAGGTGTGCTACGCGATCCCCTTTGGAATTTCTAAGCGATTCACTTGCTCTGATAAGATTCAGTCCTCAACACGTATGTGTACCTTCACATGGTCTGGCACCCAGTACGTTTGCTGATTGTTCACCAATAATCTGTCCTTGAATTTTTCAACGGCCACAAACCTGCAGATTGTGACATCAACGGCGAAAATAAGACATCGAAAGGAAGACAAAACTTTTGACTGCAATCCAAGGCAACTGCAGGAGTCATTTCAACCTTTCGAAAGTTTGCCACAGGAAACAATCAAGTTGAACGTCCACTGCCAAATGACAGAAAGTCCTGATCTCACCCACCAGCTGGGCACAGCTTTGTAAAGAAGAGGGGTTTCAGACCGCCAGCAGAAGGGATAGGAATGCATAATGCTTCCTGAACTCACGAGCCTTCCATTAGCCTGCCATGAAACACATCACATTGAGAAAATGAAACCTAGCTTTCTCCTTAAAACAGGCAAACCTAAAGAGAAACATGCCTGACTGGAACCAGGCGGCCCATCAGAAAAATTCGAACGGAACTGCCTTCAAACCCAAGTACCGGTATTGTTTCTCATAAGAATCGAAAAAGTCTTCTAGAGAGGTGCACAATTCAAGAAGGGATGTCTAGTAATTATGAAAAGAACGAGTAACTGCTTGTAGGTCTCTTGAGATACAAACATTATACAGACATTTACAATTCATTAAGATACACACATACCTTCACCCAAGCGATGATGTCCTTGTCCGCTTCTTTCACATAACGACCTTGAAAGTCACTGACGGTAGCTGTGAAGCAGCCACTAGCATCTACTGGGTTGGGTAAATCAGCTCCCTGAGAAGATTCGAAAAATATGTTGTGAGTTGCAAACCCACTGACGTGTATTCTGTAATATAATTTTCAAAGTGAATGAATGGAACGATGATTTACCTTCACGATAACGCCATTAGCCAAACATACTCGGTAATCGTCTTCTCCAAAAGCTGGGGCACAATGAACAACTCCCGTACCCGCATCATCAGTGACGTAATTGTCTGCAACAACTTTGAAAGCTTCCTTCGAGTAGTCCGTGAAGTATGGGAAGAGAGGAGTATACCTGCCCAAGATAGAAAAATAAATTTTCTGGATTACGGACAAGAAATGACTAGAACAGTGTTCACTTCGAGTATGACACGTATTTCTATTCTATGCTCGACTTTACTGAGAGACAAGCTTTGCTTAAACAAAGATAAAACCTATATCGCATCTATTGTTATATAACCAACTTCCTCTTTATTCTTCTACTGACACTTCACGAATACGAAGAATCCATGTTTCATTCATATCTCATGTTTCTCAAGCTCCAATAGAACAGAAACAGGGAATCGCAATCGGGTCTCTTCCAAACTCTTAGTTCAATGCTCACCGTTTACCAACTAAATCACTTCCTTTGTACTTGGCTAAGACTTCATAGGCGCTGGTGTCAACGACTGGTTCCGAGGCTTCCTTTACTGCCTTCTTATCTCCTTTCTTCGCAGCTCCCTTTGCAGGTGTTTCGGCCACTTTAACGGCTTCAGCTTTTGGCGCGTCCGTCTTTCCTTTTTTAGGAGTAGGCAGCTGAGAAAGTCGGGATTCGGCAACAATATACACACTTCCTGTTGCTTTGCTTTTCACCTAATGTCCAGATGAAGACAGTGAGCATCAAATTCTCCAATGAAACTCGTGAACCCAAAGCAGTTATTCCTTCAGTGACAAACGACTCACTGAACGAATTACTTGTAGATGAATGAAGGGCATGATGAACACACACCTTCACGTAGGTGAAACCAGCATTGATACACAAAATCAGGTTGCTCGGTAATGTCCAGGGAGTCGTCGTCCATGCTACCATTCCAGCTCCATGTTCATCTCCTTCAATAGGGAAACTCACCATCACAGCTGGATCTGAAACATCCTGGGATCATGGAATGATGTCTTCAGCAAACTTCACGGCAAGGCTTCCTTGCAGACTTGTCGTATTTTTACAGCTTTAAATCAATGGCAAGCTCAAATTACCATGAAAGAAATAGTAAACGGAAAAGCTCACACCTTGAAATTTAGCCCTGCTTCAAAGTTCGATAAGGGGGTGTTGCAACCTGTGCTGTAAGGCATGACCTGGAATCAACGAACAGTACGTATCTATCAGACGTCATCAACTTCTTTTTACCATTTACCATTTACCATATGATTTTAGAGATACTGCGTGATGAAATGTTCACTAGATTCTATTTGAAGTTTCTCACCCAACAATTCGTAAGCAAAAAAACTGTAATTTTGGATCAATGAAGAGTGAAAATCTGATGACGCAGGAAAGTGTATTATTGGCAGGTGGTGCCTGAAGATCATACACCCTGCGCCATGGCTGCAGTGAGATTGATGTGACATCGACAACATTGAGGGAAAATCATGATGGAAGATGAAATGAGAAAAGGGCTATGAGACATGTAAAAGGACCTTTCTAAAAGTGGAATAATATTCCGTAAAAGAGGTTACTTTGAAATTTGACTTTGTCAACAAAGGGATTCATCAACTAGTTTCCACTTAGGGCCCCAAAATACATGATTCAACACAGTGGCAATACTCGAACTTTAACTCTAAGCTAATGAAATTTGAGAATGCTCTTGGCGATCAAGGTAGTGCTAAGAAGAAGTGGAATGCGTTGAAGGGCTGTCTTTTAGATTAGTTATCAAAGTTTATCTTACCATGAAATGATGTACATTTAGCGTACTTGCCACAATAATCAATTCCGAGCTGTATCCTACGTGAGGATGCCGCCAATTTCACGAAAAACATTTTCTTTACTACACTCTAAAAGATTAAGACAACAGACATACTTTTGTGTCGTTGCGTTAGGTTTTCCTTGAAGTTTCCTGAAGATGTCATATATAAAAAGCAGGAACTTTGTAGCAGCTAGAGTCAGTCCTGACAACATAGATTGAATCAATTACAAAAAACTTATGATTATAATTGAAAAAAACGGTCCGAACGACGTCGTCGGCTATGAATCTTGTATCTGTTCAAAGTGTTGGACAATTGCCGTGTAATCAAATTAAAGGCAGCAAATCATCGCAGAATTCAAACAGTTGAACTGGACAATGAAACCTCGTTCTCAAGAAAGTCTTATCGTGAACTGCGTTAGAGATACAGACTCTCGCACTGAAGCAATTTCATGCACAGTTGATAGCATTTCAGCTGTCCATTTAAATCATCCCATTGACGACTCTCTTGTGCAGGAGCAGAATTACATGTCCAGTTTCACTTAAGGGTTTCCACGCTAGGATTCGATCCCGCTCACTTGCATGATGACGGCGAGTAGAAGACGGAAAGATATCATTCTTCCTTGGTTTGAAATCAGTTGAACGGAATCGAGAGAGGTCGACTTAAACCCTAAATCGCACTACCTGGGGTGATTGAATTCGAACGAAGCATACCTTAAACCCTCGGTAGACGAGATCCTTATCCACAAGCTGCTTGAACACCCACCATACGCTTTCCATAAAACTGGGATCCAAGGTTTTATAATCATTATCAAAATCGATCCACCGTCCCACCCTGGACACAACCTTCCTCCACTGCTCTCTGTAGCGCATAACAATTGCCAGACACTCATCGTTGTACTTGTCAATTCCCATCTCCAGAACCTGATCACGGGTTTTAATTCCCAGTTTTTGGTCGATCTCATACTCCACGGGAAGCCCATGAGTATCCCACCCGAAGCGCCGGGTGACATGGTGTCCTAATGCGGTTTGAAATCGTGTGACAACATCCTTGATGGTCCCGGCCAAAATGTGGCCGTAATGCGGCAGGCCCGTGGCAAACGGAGGTCCATCGTAGAAAACATACTCCGGCTTGCCTTCGCTCCGCTTCAGCTGAGTCTGAAACGCATCAATGCGCTCCCAGAATTCCAAAGTCTTCTCCTCCTCCTTGGGGAAGGAGTAGTCCTTGCCCTCGATGATTTCTTCCATGGTCAGTCGGCAATCGGCTCGACGAAAGGCCTCTCCCGCAGCTGAGGAATGTGATACAGAGCTCCTGCAATCGCCACTACGTCCGCCGGCCTCTACCTCGGGCTCTTCCTGCGCAACGGATATGCGCTTGTGTCCGCAGCCGACGTCTGCTGCTTTTCTGCTCGGCGCTGCTGCTGCTGCGCTTCCGCTTCGTCCTGCTTTCGATGGCGGCTCTTCTCCGAGCTCCTCCTCACTCGAGCGACAACAGTCCATCAGTCCCCCCGGAGCAGAACGTACGATGCAAGGCCCCTGGCACCGACGGATTCTGGAGTTCCGGTTTGCGTTTCCTCCCACATTTCCGGCGGATCGATCGCCGCAGTCGATCCCTCACCATCCGTCCGTTTCTCGACATCAAACTCCGACCATTCGTAATTATTACCACCTCAGTCTTCGGGGCTTGATACTAATCACACGTAACCATTATACATTTCCGACAAAATGTAGTGAGCCCTACAAATGCCCCTTCACTTTTCGACCGAGTCCATAGTGTAATTTGAATACATATTCTGTACTATCATTATTATATTTATCATATGACTATACTATCATTATCTCAACTTCTGTCCACTTTAAAACATGATTTCGATTATCGAATAAATCGTAGTTTAAAATGCGTCCAAAGCAATCTCATAAGGCCATTCTATTCCACTCGCATGGCATTTGATTCTGGGTGAATGCGGGGACGCGTTTGCGGCGGTGAGATGCGGACCGCAGCCCTGCGAGGGGAATAAAGAGGAGGGGCAGAAAAGAGATCTACGGGAAGAACGTGCGCGAGGGCCCGAAGTCAGGACTCAGGATCTCGACGTACCGGTCACGAATTCATCGCCAAGCTCGATGTGTGCTCTTCGCAAGCTTCCAGGCTGTACGTGGGGCGGCCTCTGCTCGTCTCTGAGCCAAATCTCTCAGATCCAATCGCGCAGCCACGCCACCGGTTCCGGCATTTTCGATCTCCCGGGCTGTCGAAGGGTCCAATTCCAAGTCCAAGGCCGAGTCCGAGGCGGGGATGCGAATTCTCGGAGCGAGTTGATTTCCCGAATCCGAGGCGATGGTGCGAAATGTCGCAGTTGGAGCCTTCGATCGTCGTGCTTCGCTGAGTCCTCGAGGCTGCAGGTCGTAGGAGCACGAGGATTCGGTGGCAGACCTGCTGCTGCTGGTGCTGCTTCTTCTTCCATGGAGGGCGAGGGTGGATTGCAGGAGGCGAAATCGTCGTCGGCCGAGGAGGAGGATGAATTTCGGGGAGGGAGATTTTGTATATTGCTGACGGGACATGCTTCGGATTACACGCAGAGGCTGTACGGGGGTTACTCGCAGATGTTCATCAAGCTGCTGGGAGATCCTCGAGACATGTGGGATGTGTTTCCGGTGGTGGAAGGGGTTTTTCCTGCCGAGGAGGATTTGGGCAAATACGACGGCTTCGTCGTGACGGGGAGCCGCCACGATGCGCACGGCGACGACGAGTGGATCGTGAAGCTCTGCGCTCTCCTGCAGACTCTGCACGAGAGGCGGACCAAAATGCTGGGCGTCTGTTTCGGCCATCAGGTTTTGAGCCGAGCCCTCGGAGGGAGGACTGGGAAAGCTGAAGTCGGATGGGAAGTGGGCGTGAGGAATGTTCAGCTGACGGACGCCATGTTTGCCAAGCCTTATGCTGCTGGAGCTCCTCCTGTGATCAGAATTTACGAGTCGCATCGAGATCAGGTCAAAGAAATCCCCCCCGGAGGCGAGCTGTTGGGATTCTCGGAGCGAACTGGTATCGAGATGTACGCAGTGGGTGACAATATTTTGGCGATTCAAGGCCATCCTGAGTTTTCTGAGGATGTTGTGAGGGACATTGTGGACACTCGGTCTTCCTCGGGAGTGCTCAATGACGCTGAGACCAAGACTGCCCGAGACACTCTGAAAGAAGGGCCTCATGATAGAGAAATTTTACAACGCATTTGCAAGCTCTTCCTCAAGGGTAGACGAGTTTAATGCCAGCCAGCACTCGGTGTAAACATCGACGAAGGCTTGCTGACATCCCGTAGAACACTTACCTCGGCCTTGTAACAAGAACAACATCTGGGCGCCGGGATCGACACAACGAACACATCTGGGATCAAAGATCCAGGGGTGTCCAAGTCCAAGTCCAAGTCCGTTGTATCTACTCACTGCTCGTTCTGGCACACAAAGTTCTCGATAATCGCGCTGATTCGTTGATTTCAGAAGACGCCAGAACCTACAGCATTGGAATTGAGATGTACGACATACTGACAGACTCGTTAGTTCAAGGCATAAGTGAAGATGGTTGGTAGATTGCCAGCCACAATGTGTTCGCAGTCTCGCAATTTGATTAAGCTCTTCACGTAGACAAGCGCTGTTAGGCGCTCATTCACTTCTGTGAAGTTCTAGTAATATATTACAGGGATAGTTTATCCACCAGAAACGTATTTACACTTCGGCGTCAACGTAACATGTAATGATGGTTCTTAAGAACTTTTGAATAATGACTACGTTTCCGTGATTTTTGTCTGCATCAACCATTGTTTCCAGAGCTTGACCAACCTGGGCCATCATCTGTTTAAGGCCTACTACAGAGGATGGTTTTAATACAAGATGTAGGCCTTTCTGCTCAGGTAATTTACACATCAGTAGTCTTCTACAGACAAGGTCCAAAGATCCTACAGCGGCAGTGAAGTCTTCTTTGGCGAAGGAAAGAGATGCGAATCTGATCAAGACGTCTATGAAAGCAACCATGACATCAACGTGTCCCCTTTGCAGATATTTTACAAGAATCGGTAGAAAGTCCGTGTGGTTTGTTTGACCACTTTCCTCTGAAGACACACAGTGGCCGCTGGGCGTCGTGGGCTTGAGCTTGTCTGCACAGGGACTCTCACTCGATTCGGTGGGTACGCTTTCTGAGTGATCCGAATCGGATGTTGGAGATTCCAAATCGTCAGTGTCTGCCATTGAATCGTAGGCGGAAACTGCAAGATGCGCCACCCAAGGTCGAAACTGGCGCAAGCCTTCAGACGATCTACTGCAGCTGGACGGTGTTCTAGGGCCTGCACTGGGTGCCCTCAGTGTAGCAGCCTCGCTCTCAGACCTCGTAAAAAGTAGTGTAGTGGCAATCAGGAGATCCGGAATCCACTGCTGCAAGCTATTCACAATGGGCACCGCCACGGGTTTCAGTCGTTTGGCAGAATCTACCACGGCGATGAAATCCAGCAGACTGTGAGCTATCAAATATCCATCTTCAACTTCATGTGTGTCATCTCGAACACACAGGTAAAGAACTTTCGCAGCGTACGTTACTATGACTTTGGCCGAAGACCAAACGTCTCTGCAAAAGCGAGGCGGAGATCCTCCAACAAAACGCCCTTTCCCTTTAAGACAGTTATCAATAAGCCACTGCACTGATTCGGCGACGAAAGAGGCAGTCTCTCGTCTCAGAGAACGGGTGGTAATTAATCCCAAAGCATAAGCATCTGAAGTCGTTTGCAGAATATTTGCGACAATTTTCAACATCTCCCCGTGATCTTTAAGCTTAGGTTCTGGACCTGGACAACCAAAATGTAAAGCAGCTTTGCCTTAGGAGAGTGAGATGTTGATTGAGCGACATGATAAAATGATATAACAGCGAGTTAAACCGCGCCATATACACATGTCCCTCAGACAAGCAATGATTGAACGAACGAACTTCGCATGGTGCGACAGGATTGCAACTGTGAGGACGAGCGATCACACAAACACACACATCAAACACACGCTTGAAAACGGATGAGATTAAAGCCTGTCTACAGTTAGAAGATACATACCAGGAGATGTAGTGTTTACTGAAAGAGGGGACAGTGGCTCCCTCTGGCGCAATTTACGACTAGGCAGACGTGCGCGCTTGACGATGGGTTGTGGTGAAGGCGAGTTAAGTGTTGTGAGACTTTTGCTTGTTTTTCCCAGCATCTCCCTCAGCCAACCTACTAACTCTTCCCAAGCCAACTGAAATCCACCCTGGCAAACGATCGGCATGTGAGTGAGCAAAAGCAGACCAACTTAAATTACTGATCCTCGAGCAAAATTGTTTGCGGAAATGGTGCATACGAGTTAACAGCGCTGGTATACGCAGATTTTCTGTGCAGACTTAACAACAGATTGCTTTTGGATGTGGAACTTACCGCCAGTTCAGTCAATTTTGCTGAATCTGAGCAGAAAGATTTGAGCTGCTCTCTACTGCCCTTTTTTGTCTTCAGTTTTTGCTCCTCCTTTGAAGCACCTTCCAAGGCAATATGCATGGACAATTTCATGTATGCTAAAACAGGAGATGCTGCATAAGATGTGGTGGCTAGAGCAGTAGAGCCATCGCCAGCGACTTTGATGGCATTTCGAGCTAAGGTTTTGAGACCAATAAGGATGTCTTTGAGGTAGTTGTTCGCAAGGACAGCTTCTCGTGTTTCGTCTTCAGAAAGCAGAATCTCAACTTGCCATGCAGCTCCAACAGCAGCGATGTATTTATCCTTCAGCGACTGCCTCTTTGTTTCATCTTGTTTGGATGCACTGGAATCCAGGGCACCCGGCAGGGTAGATTTACCACGCTTGTTACCACGTTTGAGATGAGTGCTTGAGGAATTTACCCTGACAACTATGGGAGAGATGATGCTGGCTATACCAGACGCTTCGGAAAGAATGGTTATAAAAGCCTCCAGAAGATTGTCTAGTCCACCCCAGGCAACAACTAGGGCGTGTACAGCTCGAACCTCCGCAACATCAGCTGGAGTAACAGAGCACTTCATCACAAGATCGCCGCAATAATTGATGAGCTTGGATACATTTTTTGGAGGCAAGCTTGAAGCAGTTTGGAGAACATAAGAGCGACCTAGGGAGTCCGGGGCACAGGCTATGAGGGCAGCCAGCATGTCCCCCGTCAGTATCTCCCCAATAGCTACCCTCCATTCATCTGTAGCTAACATGCTTTTGCAAACCTCTGAAAGGGCGTGGAGAATTTCCGTACGCACTTCGTCACTGCAATCTTCGTTGTCTCTGGCCATGGTGCTTAGAGTCTTGACTAGCTCGAGGAGAGATGTTCCGGAAGCGCCCTGACTGAACAACCACTTGCAGAATTGTGTACCGGCATGGGGCGATCTCTTCAGGAGCACAACGCACCGGCTGCAGGCCTCTTTTGCGGTAACCTTTGTCGGGAAGTAAGAAGGCAGGAGGACCTTACACAGGCGTTGAGCAACCGGAGAACTGTCCGTCGAAAGAGAAAGAAGAAGAGAATCTAAGGGTACCACCTGGAACATGTCAACAGATGTCAGCTTCCTACAGGTATCGGGCTCCTCTTAGGCGCTGACATACGAGGTCTAATGTCCCGCTCGCAGTGACTTATGACTTTTCAAGTTTTGAAGCAAATTGTTGAAACTGTCGTTGCACTTGCACTGTGAAGTATAAACTGAAAAAGAAAACAGAATTAGGACAGGAACTACCTCATATAATTAAATCACTAGAGATATTTCCGACGTGCTGGAATATCTCTAGAATTGAGTAGCAATTATGTCGAGGCGTGGACCATCCTGATTTCATATGAATGTAAATTATCTAGAGGATTTTAATTGCAAAGCAGACTCACAATCATCATGGTAGTTACGATTTAACTACCGGCAAGTGGTAAGGCTCAGGGTTCACCAACCTTGTAAAATTGGATGACGCGAATACCTTTGATGACGATTAAAAGATCCGCGGCTGCAATTCTCACAGCCATACTGTTATCGTTCAATAAGAACCCAAGGCGGGGGAGTAAAACTTTGAGAATTGCATGACTCTGTGCGTTCTCCAGCAAATATGTAACACCTTTCAAAACAGCCAATCGTACAGCGTTGCTCGATGAATCATTCGCCATCTCATCTACAACTTTGGTCAAGAGTTTGGCGGTCGTTCCGGAGGGAATGACCTCCCAGAAAAGACGAAGAATCCTACAGACAACCTCCACAGCCACACTCCTCACGTCCGGGCTAGGATCCATCAATAATTTATCTAGAAGTCCAAACTGCTTCTCCAGCACAACTTCCTTCTCTTCCTTAGATGCGTCTGGATCTTCCACAGGGAACACTTCCACTAAAAGCAGTAATGCATTTCTTCTGACGTTTGAGTTTGCAACCTGCAAGCAAATAAACAACTGCATCAGTGAAGTTGGCCACTAACGAGCGACGCAGTGTCATCGGTCAACAAGAAGCAACACGAGAGACTAAAGCGAAACAAAGCCTTCAGAAGCCTTGTCACCTGTAAGCAGAAGTTGCGATATTGGACTATTTAGATAAGGTCGGTATCAGTCATTAATCTACTAATAAGACTCCCCGATGATGTTTTGTGAATTATAAGGAGAAGCCACATTATCCAACAAGAGACGCTTCAAGCGACAAGGCGAAGCACCTGTAGAGCACGGAACAGCAGAGGTTCCAGCAGGCGGAAGAGCATAGACTCCACACCATCCTGTGACTTTTTACTTGTGAATCCTTCAAGCACAGTTCTGATCGATGCGCCCAAGGCTTTGCTGGATGCGTGTAACGCTCCTTCGATAAGTCCTTGAATGCACGTGTACTCGATTTCATGAAGGCAGACGTCCTCTGCCGCTTTCCATGCGTGATACAGAATCTCTCCATATCCATCAAGAATCGATTTTTTGCCGTATGGTATCTGAGAGCGAACAATTACGACAAGCTCCTTCACAAGTTGCGGATTAAGCACAAATAAGTAGGAGATAAAGCGGCGACCAGGTTGGCTACGTAAGAATGCTGGAGTGACTACTGTGCGGATGAGCAGATGCCTCAAATCCTCGATGCTGTCATCGAAGAAATCGAAGAGAGCCAGGGCATGTCTCATACTGTACACGCGTTGCACATCGTTCTTTCGACCGTGTGACAATGCTTTGGACAAAAGGAAAGGTATGCATTGAGTTATCAAGCTCTCGTTTCCATCTAATTTCTCTCGCCACCATTGTTCACAGAGACAAGATACACTATCCCGTAAGCTAGAATCGGCTTCCAGATTCACGAGATTGTCGTGCAAGGCCGATACAGTCGGGAAGAGCCACTTCGGCTGGAAAACATCCGATGCATGGGCAAGAATTAAGTTCGCTAAAGTGGCGCAACCTTGAAGTGTTTTCAACTTTTCACTCCTCTTATCCTGCAGATGTAATCTGCAAGTCGTTCCTTCGGATCCAGAAGCTAAATCATTCCCGTTGCCAGATGATGAGTTCGCGGCCCTCTTCCTGCTGCCTCGTCTACGCTGAGGTGGTGCCGGTGCCAATTCAGAGGCTCGGTCGTTCTCAGTCACATCTTCTTGTTCCAAAAGCTTCGTGTATGCCTCAAGCTCTTGACTGGTGGTAGTGGCAAGTGCGTCACAGATCTTGGAAGCGGATTGTTTGCTGATTTTGGTCAGAACAGTCTTCAGAACAAATTTATCCGGCCGAGACTGATGCTGAATCACCGCAGCAACAAACTCCTCAGCAGTACCCCCTAAAGCCTTCAAAAATGCGCTTTCTGTCGAGTCCTTCATTCTATAAGCTACTTAATGTCGCCCGAGCGCCGCCTCGGGCTCCGAAGAAAATTCTTCCTCTGCCCACGGAACAAAAACTGAGCCGAACTAAACCACTGACGAGAATTTCGCGGACAATCCTCCAGTAACTGAATTGTCATGAAAGCACCAATTGCACGATTCCACCAAAACGAACCTGGTTTTTCTAACTAATCCGACTAAAGTTCCACGGCACACCGACAGAGAGTGCGCAGGACTGCGATCCCCCCACCGGAGAAGCACCGCACGGAACTCCTCTCTCGGCGAAGCATGAAAAAACGGCCAATTAAATTCCACAGAACCGAAAAGCTTCCCCCTCGAACGAAACGAAACGGGAAGGTGATCAAATCACATGCAACGGATACTCGGTGAGCAGATTAGAGGTTGGACCTCGGTCACTACCGCAGCCAACAACTTGCCTCTGCCTCTGCCTCTGCCTCTGCCTCGTGTCCCATGAATCCGAATGCTTCTGGCTGCGAGACGAGAAAATGCTGCTGCTCAGAACTTGCGCACTGCACTTGTGCACGAGGGGCTCCGTGCCGAGCTTCAGCTCGATGCCGATGCCGATGCCAAGGCCGAGGCCGTGCTCTCCCGCTACCGAGCTCGGATTCAAAATCAAGCGGGAAGCCCCTACTCCAAACTACTGTACTTTACTCTGTCGGTGACTTACGTTATCCGGTCACCTGTCAGGGAGTGCGTGCAACACGACCGGTCACCGACTCCGCGGCTCAGGTTCCGCTTGGCAAGATGACGAACGACGTTCCGTCGAATTGCAATTGCTGGGAAGCTCGTGACATTGTCGAGATGCCCTACGGGCTCGTCACGAAATGTCCATTGAGATGACTCGATCGTGGTCATATGGAGTGCTTGGCGAGAGTGTGAGGAAACAGAAGTAGATTTCAAGGCAGAATTTGCTGTCAGGCCTCTGATTCGCTTCCGTCGGGGAACGGACGATCTCACCACATTCCGCAGTTGTAATGTAATCGTTGTTCCGAAACGTGAGCAGCAATTGTTTTGCTTCGATCGACGGCCGGTGCGCTGTACTTAGACGAAGCGCTTTCTGTGTTCATCTCGTTGCAAAGGGCGGTGGCTGGTCAGAAAACCAACAGTTATCGTGTTTGTCCTACCGTGTTCTTGCCTTCGAGGTATTTGCGGACTTGTCGTCAGAATTGGCCTCAGATCTGACGTTAGCTAGCTGGTTATTCACTTAAAATCAAAATGAAAATGAAGATTCAACATTACGTACAGAGCGATCCCAATGGAAAATGGAAAATGGACTCATGAATTAGGCCGCAGCGGCTGGTGGTTTTCAGATCCCGTAGAAATGCTTCTTTTATGCTTTCTTTCAGTATACCTGGATCTTGTATTAAATCAGTGATTTTACGGACGATAGTGTCTCGAAGAGAAATGGAAATTGGATGGGACAAGTTCCTCTCTGGCTGCGGCGTAAAATGTAAGAGTGACAATGTTAGGGCTGCATGCTTTTAATGATCTTGCACCGACGGCGACAAAACTCCTCCGCCTTCGGACCACGGACGACGTTTCGAGTACTAGAGAATGAGTGCTCCAGGAACCAACAACCCGGAGTGGCAATTTGCAATCACAATCGTTAGGAAGTGTAGCCGTTTCGATGTACTGAAATGTCCTCTGTCTGCAGTAACACCATCGCATCATGCTGCTGTCAACGAACTGTTTTATTCACACTAGACTGGATTTGAAGTTATTTCCGGGGAGACGAGAGCTTTGTGATGGTCATGATCATCAAAATGTGTTGATGTTTAATTTCTTTCCATCTGTTTTATAAGGTGCAGTTTCGAGGTACTCCTCAGTTTCAAAGCATCTTGGCAACCCAGTAGAATTAAGGTTTACCTCGGCGAGAGGAGGGCATTACTACACAGTTGTTCTCCGGCAGGTTGGTCGATAGAAAAGCATAGAGCCTTGAAGAGATTGCGTTGAGCCTCGTAAGACTGGCTGGAATATTCCCTCAATGGACAGAGGGTGATTACTATCTTGCTGGATGAGGAATGAGAATATGACGTTATCCAAAGTATTTTCAACCATAGTGATTTGCAGTTATTTAGATTTCAGCATAGAGATGAGATTCTTCATTACTACCGTGGTATTTACATTAGTAATTATTTGGGTATGAGCATTGGCATATATCTAGACTTTGGAATATATTGTGTAATTATCGTAGATTGTATTGAAATTGTCCTGATAACTACGAGTTCTGGGTTAGTAAATATTTGTATCAATGAGTAGAGTTCCAAGTAATTTAGACAATTATTTATTAAAATAAATAAATATTTTATTTACATAATATATTTGTCTCGACTATAATATGTTATGGTGATGAGGTAGATAATTTTGAAAATGAAAATTGTTGTAATGATGTATGTTTGCGCTTGGGGCAATGACGCAGTTAGTGAAGTGAAACCGAGACGCGTCAATTGCTGGTTGAAAACTATTTCCATTTCTATGATCCTTTGTGTAGTATCAATTATTTATTTATATACACTATACAGGTTGTTTAAAAACCAATTATGTTAAATGGTTATTCTTAAGATGTTTTTGGTGATAAAATATGCTCTCATTGTAATCTATGTAAAACCTTATTTATTGGTTATTATCTTCATGACTATTCTCACCTTTTGTCTACATAACCCACAAGTTCTAATTTTATTAACGTTTTAATGCATTTGGAATGTGATGGTTTGAGTTCAAGTCTTGTAATAAGTAGCGTGCGGTCCTTAATGATATCGAAATAAGATTCCTCTCCTCGTATCCTCGAATTTCTTTCTTGTTCTATTCGTTACCAATTTACAGGTTAATCAATTAGTTATCCTTGACTTGGCTATGCCATCGGTCGTGAGAGACGCTTCTCTGAAAATTTCAGCCTTCCATCTCGTTACTCAACCAAACTTTGATGACATATGAAGTGTTATAGAAGCCAGACATTGACTTCTCATCTCATGCAAAAGCTTTGTTATATTCCCAAGCAAACGTGATGGTTTACTCCCATCTTCGACCGGGAGATTCAGTGATTTTATACAGTATCATTGAAGTGAATCGATACTACATAAGTCCAAGACTTGGCACACACGAGTGCAATGTTCATCTGATGCTGAAAGTATGAATTTGTGTACAATCATGGAAGCTTAGAACATTCATCTCATCAGTGATGCATTTTTCTTGGACCTCTTTCGTATCAGATTCAAATTCCTCAAAGCTTAAGTAACTGATCCGTGTTTTCCTAATTTGAATGCTTCTCCTCACCAATCTGCTTTGTATCGTTGCATTGGGGAAGAAGCATTGTTGCTTCGAATTTGAATTTCAGCTGCTAGGTTACACTGAATTTACTTGTACTCCTACGTGAGATGGGAAGAATGGGCGGCACTCTTCGGTATTCGTCACACCCAGAGATCTTACAGTGAAGTGTTGGCGTGTGAGTGCGTCTGAGAGGCATAATGCATAAGCTACTAGATGAGTCTTCAACTCCTTCCTTATTCCTCTGTACTATGCACGTCAGCTTAAGAGACCCTCACAGGAACTCCTTTTTCATGTAATCGAGCTCTTGCAGAAGTCATAGCAGCGCCACGTGCTACAAATATGTTCCAGTAATGATGATTCGTAATGGCTATGAGCTGTCTCAAGCGGTAAAAATTTTGCTTGCTCTTCGAAACCATGTGATTTTTTCAGAGCAAATGCAAACCTGGAATATGTACCGGCCCAAGATCGATTTCAGGCCAATTAGTAATACGAAGTGGATGTCTCTGAGATCCTGCGTCTCGATTCTTTACTTTCGCTGCAATCAGAGAACAGAAGCACTTAAAATAGTTTTCCTGACCGAAAGAAAGTGAGATACTTGTTTTGTTTTGAAATAGAAGGTACCGGAAATTCGTCTTGACCGGTTCTTACATTTGTCCTGATTCCCTGATGCTTTTTCTCTTCTGTTTATGCTGATACATTCTAACGAGCACACAAGAAAGTGTTTGGTACCTGTGTTTTGTTTTAATGCTCAGTGAGTACTTCGTCTCCTGCAACTTGTCATTGAATCTTCAAGCACGTTCAGTGATTCGGCGAATCCTCTCTTCGACACCAAAAAAGAAGCTGCCTCCAGAACCAATGCAGTCACTTATTTTTCCCATGATCACATGCTTGAACGTGCTCTGGAGCTTAGTGGAGCATCGTTCATCGGATGTCAACATCGAACACCTCGATGAGTCTGCTGTATCCGGTTTGGGTATGGTCAAAACTACCCATTGAGACTACTGAATGCCAGAAGTGTCCGGTGAACACGGCTCGCATGGAAGAAAAACTACTGAAAGTTTACATGATGATGGTGGTTGTGATGTGCGACGATGTAACCTTGGCCATAGTACAGAGATGAACGACGATTTGGGTGATGGTGAGCTAGGGGGTTGTGCTTCATGCGTGTTGCCTGCATTTGGTGCAAGTGCAGATGTGGTGATGGAAGGTTATGGAGGTGAAGGTGGGGCACCAGCACTAATTGCTGCTGGTGCAAAAGCATTCCTCTCTCTCTATTATGGAGCATGAGCCTTCGGCGTTGACAATGAACCGAATGGGGTGGACCCTGCTGCTGTGGTTGAATCATGTTGAGGCCGTATTCATTCCCTGGATCGGATCGAGGAGGCGATCCAAGACTTAACAGAAAATTAGAGCGGGTTGGGCTGGGATACTGATGGGGGCTCTGTAATACTCCCCTTCCGGGAGCAGGACTTGCCGACAGCGAGGTTGCCCTCGATCCCGGAGCAAATGCGGAAGATCTAGTACTGGATAGCATCGGCGAGGATCTGTTCATATTTACTCTACCCATACTCCCTGGCATCTCCATAGGCTCCACGCCCTCAGGACACATACACTCCTTGCAGCTCTTCCAAAATGAAGGCTTCGAATCGGAACTGCCAGCGCAGCCCATCAAACAGAGGATGCGTTCGGCCAATTCTACCAACGTTCAGCCTTGAAACAACCCTGTGCTCTGCCAACCCATTGTGATGAGAGGCACACATTCGTCTTTAGCCGGAAGAAACGCAGTCTCAAGAATTCTGTGAAAAGGAATTTGAAGATCTCCTTAGTTCCCTGATCGAAATCCTAATGTAGACCCCTCTCAAGTCCAACTCAATTCAAACTCCAAAACAACAATCTCATCAGAATGTAGGCGAGATGTACCGACTCAAGAAACTCCTCTGCATCCTCCGAATCGACATGAGATGATCAACGAAGAGCCCGGAGAGAGGTGCAAGGAGCCCATCGAATTGCACGTGAAAACTCGGAAGAAATAGGTCATCCGAATGAGCGAGTAAGCTCGAATATCCTCTTGCTAAATCTCGACGCCACCATACACTGGCATCGACTCTAAGAAAATCCTGCACTCTTGTTTCTGATCATAAGTGCAGTTCCAACGCGCATGAACACAAAACTTAATTAGGGCCGCACAATCGAAAAGCCCTCGACTGAAGAAATGTCTTCTCGTCCATTCGCACACCCTGTGATGCAATGTCGCCGCTTCCTTGAAGAGCCCGGGCCTCCCTATTTCAATTCCACGATCAAGAACCCTCCATCGCCCTTCGAGAAAGCGCCAGGCACTTCCTCGGGCCGAAGCTCTTGGGAGACCCGCGGACGGGCTGCCGTGGATTGATGCTTCTCCGAATAGTGCTTCAGTTGACGTTTCCACGACAATCATCCGTTCAAACACGAAGAACTGCATCTCCGACGTGGTACCCGTTCGTGGTAAACCCTTGAACCCGCAGAGCCTATCACTCCGAATCATCGGCCACGTCGGCAACGCCGTAGACCAGAGACGTCCGCGTTGCTGAGGTGGCGACCACATGTAGTAGCAAAGAGGCACCTCGTCGGACGATGTTCGTTCTGAAGCCAGCCCTGCTGACCGTCCTCTGCGAACGTGGTTGATGGTTTCGGGCCCTAACGTCAGTCCTTTTCGTTCGTTCCAAACCACACCAGAGTAAAAGGTCGACGGAATCAGATGAAAGTACAGCGGGGATCACGGGGCCTAGCCCCAAGCATAGAGCCCTTTGTATTCATCCGTAGTACGACTTCCGATCCTCGTTGCTAGATTACTCGGTTGCCCCGTCATCACGGTTGCCAAATGAAGGACCAAAAAGGGACCTGCTTGGAGCATTTGAGCTCCAGTAGGTAGGTCGGCTACAACGTCAACGACTTTATTAGCATTCCATCGAACGCCTAAAGTCAAGCTTTTGTTAAAAAAGCTGATGTCCTTTTTGTTAAAATTGACTTCATTTTTTTAGCAGAAATGGCTGTAAGAAAAGGCCTACTTCTATTTCCGGACTATCATCTCTCCGAAATTTAGACTATTTTCCCCAGGCCGGAGGGATACTAAAAGCGTGAAGTGGGAGTAAGCCCGAGTTTGTCCACTGAGAAATAACGCAAGGAAAGGTTACCACTCGATGATCTTCTGAGAGCTCGCTATTCCAGGGACCGAAGGGTCACTCGATCTGGAACTTGTCCCTCGAGCTGTTCCCTCACAGGGTCCAGCAGTTTAGGCCTAACATAGGCAGAGCCCCGTCTCTAAGGACAGGAAAGGACATCATGACACCGATGATGAAAAAAAACGCTGGAAAGTGACAGTACTACTCGAAGCGACAATGGAGAAATATGTGTGAACTTCCGAGGAGAGTAATAATTCATTTATTGGATGTATCCTGTGGATGCTCGTACGACCGACATTTGTCACGAACCTTCAGAGCCAGAGCCAGAGCCATTTTGCAGCATACAGAGCCGACCTTTCTTTCTTCTGACACACTGTAAGGTCCCGAAGAGCTCCCATTTCAGTGAACCTTAGTTCAATGATGACCGCCTCTAAGAACCGAGCGAATCATATGAAGCATTGTCGACGATGTCGGATGTGCCGGGAAGACGAGGTGACCAGAAATCCATCGTCCGCAGTTCATTTCACTTTACGCAGTCTTTGCTACGGATTCACCGGGTCGTGCGAGGTACCGACAATCGACAGTTAATACCGGTGGCCATTGCACGGCTCGTGTGGGGCGATGGCATCGGAGTGGGAAGTACCGGTAGCGCGGGGAGGATCCGCCGGTTCCTCCCGCGAAAAGCACCGGGAGGACGTTGTCATAGACGGACGGCGCTGCAACGCATTTTCTGGTGCGGAAAGGACAAACGCGCATGACCTTTCTTTCATGGGAAATGATGATCGATCGCGATCTGTGAAGGGTCGATCGCATCACAGTGTTGATCCAGCACAGCAGTACAGAGCAAGGGAGAGCAGTGCAGTGCAGTGCAGTTCCTCCTCTTTCGAGACATCGATCGATCGAGAACGGGACGAATTGCTGCTCTCAAATACTCGCCAGTTCCAGATCTCAACACCAACTCACTCTCTCTCGCTCTGACCAAGGAAGGGCGCAGGAGGAACCGCTGCGATCTTCTGGCACTTGTTTGGATCGGGACTGTGAGAAAGGAAGGTTTGCTCGTCCGGATCAGCGAAAATGAACGACTCACAGGTATCCGAGCAGGTGACCCAGATGGTCCACTTCATTCGGCAAGAAGCCGAGGAAAAGGCCAATGAAATCGGGGTCTCCGCGGAAGAGGAATTCAACATCGAGAAGCTCCAGCTGGTAGAGGCTGAGAAGAAGAAGATTCGTCTGGATTACGAACGCAAGGAGAAGCAGGTCGAAGTGCGCAAGAAGATTGAGTACTCCACCCAGCTGAATGCATCCCGTCTCAAGGTCTTGCAAGCGCAAGATGATCTGGTCCGAGCTATGAAGGCCGAGGCAGAGAAGCAGCTCGTTAGCGTCAGCGAAGACGGCGACGCCTACTCCCAGCTGCTCAAGTCCCTCATCGTCCAGGGCTTGTACAGGCTGAAGGAGCCGTCGGTCCAGTTGCGATGCAGGGAGCAAGACTACGGATTGGTGGAGGGCGTGCTCGACGATGCGAAGACAGAGTACATGGCGAAGGTCCAGACGGAAACCTCCCCCGAAGTCTTGGTCGACGGTCAAACGTTTCTACCCGGACCGCCCGAAGAAGGCACCCCAGGTCCCTTCTGCACCGGCGGTGTCGTTCTAGCGTCCAAGGATGGCCGCATTGTCTGTGAAAACACTCTAGATGCTCGACTCGAGATTTCGTTCAAGCAGAATCTTCCCGAGATCCGAAAGCAGCTTTTCGGCATCACCGTCTGATGCCGCTTGAGTGCTAAATCTGCTCCAGAAAGGTCACCTCTTTGACTGAATTGCATCATTCATATGTTCAATCTCAGTGATCTGGTCCATTTGTGTCAAGAAAGGACCAGGCAGCGCAGCTGATCCAAGTCTTCGACCTGTGGATCGATTTTTGATTCCTCTTTATTGGACATTCTTCCACTATCGACCGGAAGATGTGAGTTTACATGATATTGTACATGACAGAGCGCTTGCAATTCCCGTTTGATGGCGTTGGTAGAGTTTGGCGATGAATCGAATAAAATCAACCGTTGTGTCTTCTTACATTGTAGAATTCCACTCACCGTCACCGCAGCGGTTTGTTTGTACAATTTCATCTCTCACATCCGTCAAGATTTGATGCTTCACTGAATAATAAGCTTCATTCCACTACAACTCGAATTTTGAGCTGAATGTCGCCGCTCTTACTGCCAGGCCATCGTTGACTGTTTGGTTGCATGTTCATCCTTGTTCGAATTTGCAATTTGTTGAATGTATGTCTGAATCAGAAATCTAACGTTGTAACTCTCTGGATGTACTTGCATTCGTCTCCTTCCGATGTGTTTGTCCTGACGCTGTTTCAGCCACGGTATTGGTTGGCCACACGATCAACGTCAATAGTTGAACGTTATTGGCCTGAAACCATTGCTTGTCAGATTGTGAATTTCGGTACTCTCTTAGAACGAGAAGCGGCTACTGACAAGCTTCACGGCTTGTACAGTACTCATTCACATGACTTCTTGGCGACCGCGATTTGAGTGCTAACCATCGTTGCAGCATCATCGTGAGCTTAAATCGTCATCGTACGCCCGTCCTTATAGTTCTGTCCATCCGAAATTGCAAAGTTTACAGCAAGACAGAACATTAGCATCTGCAGCCCGAGTGTGAAGGTACACTAGTACAACTCAAGCCGTTGCATGTTACGTCGAATCCTGTTGATCACTGACGTTTCCTTATTTCGGTACACTGATGTGGAAATTTAAGGTTGTCTTTTTTGGAGATTTTACTTTATGACAATCTGACTCAGTGAGATGCAAGCTCAGTACCACAGCCTAAATTCTGTGAGGCTCTCCTATTCAGAGGGTGGAGCTTTATAGAATCAACGTGGGGTGAGTGTCTGAAAAGCAAGCCTTTAACTCTAGGCTCCATTTCCATCAGAGAACTTCTGTCGGTGTGTTGTTGATGTCTTTAGAGTCTAAAGTTTAGACACAGGATTAAGCTTAGAAAGTTCTTAGGCACATACTAACGCAGGATGGAATATGAAAAAGGTAAGCTCCTATGCGGACTACCTGCACCTGGACAGAAAGACCCTCATGTCTGGTATGATACATTGATACATTGTTACAAATCCAGTCTGTACACTTTGATTTAAAGTTGGAATCAGTAGGTTTGCCTTGAGCTGAAACTTCTCTGTTTGCTTCATAGACCGTCTCTGCTGAAAGGTGCAATTCTTCCATAAGCCATTCGTACAAAACTGCAAGTCAAGCTGGGTAATTACGATAAAATACTACTGCTTTCTATAGACAAGATATGTTCGAAGGGTTCGGGACTTTCGATGGTTATTCACCGTGCCTTTTGATGTACCCTCAGTCTCACCTGATCCATAATGAAATTACTCACTATACTCACAAAGTGTATGTTTGGTTCATGAAATTGATGGATTGACTTTATTGTTCACTTCCCTTCACCAATCGTACTTTGAACTTAACAGTACATGAAGTTCACTAGTGTTCATTAGGAACTTGTATATCTACTTCTTTTAAATGTAAGAAATATCGATCCAATATCAGTATTTGTTTATTTATATCATATAGAATCAACAAGCTTGCACACATGATGCATATAAATGAATAGCAAAAACTATGAAGAGTATATATATTTAAACTTCTTTTGAGTGCATTTTAATTTCTAATATATGACCAGTAGTAGACCTATCTTATTATTATTAATTATTATTATTTAAATTATATTCATTTTGACTTATGAAAATTTTAGAATCATAGATTGAGTGATATTATGAAATTTTCACTTATGTTACAAATTTTGTAAGTTCCAATATAGATTCCTTCAATAAATATCGTATGAATGTTGTTGTATGCTAATCTCATAGGAGATCAACAAATATATTTTTTCCCGTTTTTTGGGAATTTTGCAGTTTAGTTTCTTTGTTTGATATTCATTTCAAGCGTTGAGTATCTCAATACAACATTTTAGTCAATATTTTTAAGATATAATATATATTAAAAATATATTTCTATTTATTATGAAAAAATTATAAAATATATGAATGTAGGTACATACATACATACTATATATATATATATATGTGTGTGTGTTGAATATCACACGTTCTTTCCACCCAAAAAAATTGTTATCATTTTTATCCTGATTTTGGTTGGTGAAATCAGTGAAATGATACTCATTATGATAAAAGTAATGATATTTTACTTTATTTATTCATGCATGTATGCAACAACCATTTAATGAATTCACATATTTATAAAAAATATATAAACATAATGAAATATCATAATATTTTTTATACATACAAAATCATGAAAAAAAATGATATTATAATTTCATCTTGCCATTTAATAATTTAGTTTGGATTGATTCATAATTTTCAATTTGTAATTATCTTCATAGCAACTTACATCTATATTTATTGATGTTGATACCAATATTTAAGTATCTTATAGAATGATCAAATGCTCATGTTGATTTCTAGAAAAGTTGTGTTAGTTTTATTTCAAATATTAAATATTAAGTAATTAATGCTATTATGATTGCATTTATATGTAAAATTTTCTAAATAAATTAACTCATAAAATATTATCATACATAAAATGAATTTTAATTTATATATATATATATATATATATATAATCCATTTATGTCAGGTGTAAATCATCATCTACACTTGGTTCAAAGTATCGGTCCAATATTGATCACTTAAAGGTTACGAGCTAGTTATTCTTGTCCCCAACCCACTCCGTGAAATACCACTTGAGTGATTTTCCCTATGATTGTCTATTCCATCATATTCCGACAATTTCCAGATTTTAACATGTTGATAAGACTATAAAAATATGATATTTTATAAATAACAAATAATTTCACATGTATATCAACGCATAAATTATTTAAGATTTGATGTTATGAAGCAATATATATTAAAAAAATTAAATATTTTGATAAATTTCACTTTTATCTACAATCTTAGATTTATCATTTGCATATTTGGAACTATGAATCAATTATTGAAAAAAGTGCATGTCATTATTCAGAATATTTTTTAGTTCTTGGGCCAATTTTCATTGTATTGAATCATTTGTTTAGATTATATTTTTTGATTTTAAATTTCACAATGTACAATTGTGTTTACGTATGTGTTGATAAAATTAAAAAATATCATGAGAAAGTAAACATCATAATCATAATTTATATTATTTCAAGCTATATTTTCATATTAGATTATAAAATTTATTTCTCAATTATTAAAATTGAATCTACATATTTTTTAACAATATTTTTAAAAAATATTTTATTCAAAATTATCAATAATTTTTCTTAAAATTTGGTAATCATTCAATTAGCCCTAGATATTGAACAGATTTAAATTTTTGTAGTCACAAAATTTATTTTTTTGCAAAATATTCTTTTGCAAGCTTTACAGTTCAATAAATGATATTTTAAATTTTAATTCCATTTTTATTATTAATAAAATAAAACTATTTGTAAATTTAAAAGTTTAAATATACTATTTAATTAATAAAAATTAAAAATATTAAAGGTATTTTTGTTCTAATATTTAGCTTTGAAAATTTATATAATCAAATTTTATTGATATTATTTATATTATATTTAATTATTATATTATTGATGGATATACTTATATAATTCAACTTAAATAATGTTGGTATTTTCATATTTTTTAAGATATATCAAACTTAGCTTATTGCATTCTTTCTATTTATTATTATTTTCCATATTTTTAATAACATGTGCATTCGATATTAACTTACAATTTGTTGTGATCATGTAACCTAGGTAAATAGTTAGCTTTAGAGTTAGTTAAATTCTAAATTTTATACTCGGTCACTATATAAGAAAGTTTACAAAAACTTGAAGGTAAAATTTGTAGGTTTTTCCAATAAAGATTGAGATGTTTCATGAACAGTACGATCATGGATGAATATGTCACTATTTAAGAAAGTTTACAAAAACTTGAAGGTAAATTTTGTAGGGTTTTCCAATAAAGATCAAGGTATTCTTTGAACACAACGATCATGGATGAATATGTGTAATGTATGTAGTGCATGATGTATGAATTTGAAGATTAGGTACACTGAAATTGGTGTATCGTATGATATTTATGTGGGTGTGATATTTACGAAAACTACAATTAATATTAGACCAGTAGCACAAGTTTTGTTCCACAACACCTAAAATTTGAATAAGAACTCATACACAGTAAATGCAATCAAAAGTTGAGCAAATTACTATAATAAATTTAAATAACAACAAAGATGAAACAAAATTGGAGTAGATTAGTGTTAATATTAATTCAAATTTGAACTTAAATAAAAAACGATAACACTAGCTAGAGTTAGATTTTGTTGTTCACTATGAATATGAAATGTCCAAAGCTCTCTTTGAACAGTTTTAGATTTAAGTGTAACTTTTTGATTCTCATCAATGTAGGTGGAGATGACAAATCACATACTTTTGTGTAAGCATTATGTTTGTTCGTGTCTGAACATGTGTTTGTGCTATATTGAATCATCATTTTGTGTGTGTGACTTTTTCATGAGAAATATTTGTTTATTTGTACAAAAACAAAATATTTGTTTATGGTACTATAATCGCTTGCTATGAATCTTCAGGCAAAATCTGATTGAAAAACACGCGATCAACCTAAGTAAACAAAGAAGTTTGTATCACAAAAATATTGTGTTAAACTTCATATTCTCTTTGGTTGTGGTTTTACATTTTTTACAAAAGTTCAAACACATGCGGAGGTCAATGATGAGAGTTCCATAGTCAAGAATTTTTATTGTTTTTGGCTTCAAAAAACAATTCCTTCACGATTGGTGCCAACCTTGTTGTGGATGGATTATTCACATCTGCTTATGTTACACCCAAGTGAAACTAACTATCTATAATCCGAGTAATAACATCTTCATTCCATAAGAAAAAGAAAGAAGTCTCCACAAGCCAACATCAAAGTCAAAATCAATAGAAGTAAACAGAGATGCTTGTATCACATGAATATTGTGTTCTACTTAAATTAATAAGACTGTATTTAAAATGTGATTGACAAAATATGCAATTTATTAAAAAGTTTGAGCTTGTTACAAGGAAAGTAATGAGATATCAGTGTATTGCAAGTGTTGCGCTTGCAAAAAAACAATCATTTTGACACTGGATTG